CCTTTTTCAGAAAATGTACGGTTGAAGTGGTTTTTGCGAAAACAAAACTTGCATCTAGGCATAAGGTTGTACTTTCTGTTGTAGAAAAAGTCTGAACAGATGGGAAGTAGTTTGAAAGAATTAGAGGAAGTGCTGATGGAGTGTCATGTGAAGAACCAGACAACAATGAAGTTCCTATATAATGTGGAAAGATTACATTGTTACATAAAAATGCATATTTACAAAGGAAAGATTATTCAAATTGTGTGGTATCACTTTAGTAAGATCTCATATCCATCAAAGAGCTAGCCTTTCTGCTCCAATGAAATGGGTTTTTAACCAGTTGGCTGTTATTTAAGTGTTCACTGTGTGTGATCTGTAAATAATGTTAATATACAGAGTTTATATAATATTTGACAGTCATCACTTTGATGTAATTAAACTCTGAAACTTGCTATATAATCAACATAGAAGCCTAGCAGCAAATTAGTTTTCTTGATTTACTTACATTTTGCTGAAAGCACTTTTGTCCAAATGTCATATATTCTGTAAGTGCATTTGTACTTCTCAAATTGATGTCAAACCTTTTATTGTTTTCCTCAATTTTTATCATGTGAAGCAACTTCAAAATTGTGAAATCTGTCAAACTATTTTTAGAAGACTTTTCTTATATATATAATTTGTTTTGGTTGATGTCTCTTTCTGAGAAAGTACTCGGTCACTTGTTTTTGCAAGAAGTAGGTAAAAAGATAGTTAGATTAACTGATGCTTCATTTAATTCAGATTTTATATTGACATAAAATCACATAATTAATTTGCCATTTAAAAGTGCCCTACAGCCTCTGCAATCATAGAATAATAATTTAGAAATGACTGTTTGGCTGTCTGTGACTTATCATAATTAACTGTCTTCTCAGCATAAAACATGAAAAGGAGCATACTCAAATACTTTATATTTTAATGTGTTGCATAATATTATCTCACCCAGAAATAGTAGGAAGAATATCTCGTGTATTTCATTGTAAGATAAGTTTTTCAATCTATCTCTAGTTTGATTTCTTTTTAGGGAGATACTTTTCTTTAAATAAGTTCCTACATTTGGCTCAGCTCTTACAGCTTAGTGCTGAAAGTGTAGAAAGTGGTCATTTTAGAACTTTACTGATGGATTTAAAATGTCATGATCCTGTTTTGTTTTGTAACATCACCAAAGCTGAAAAATAGCAGAGAAAGACCCAGCAATACAAACCAATTTCTTGTTAACCATGAAGGCATATCTTTTTCTGGATGTCATTAAACTAGAAGAAAGTTTCGACTTTGCTATAATCCTGCTGTTCCTTTTTAAACGTAGTTTCCAAACGCCTAACGTTTTTTCACTGAAATATCGCCATAAGCTGACATGATATCATGTGCTCTTCTTTTATCTTCTGAAGCCTGAATTTTATGATTTAAAATGTACTTTAGTCACTTAAGGAAGAGTGATATTTTATGCTATTTTCTGTGGGAAAACAGCTTTGCAGAAATTATTTACTTAAATGGAGGAGAGTTCTTTTGAAATAATTTGAATGATTACCGCAAAGGTAAAGTATTATGTCCATTACTGGAAAATAACTTTCTGTATACCTCCTGTGACTTAAATAAATCATTGATGACATTTGTTGCAAAGTGAGCGTGGTATTAAGATTCTTACAGCATTCAACTTCAAGTAGCAATCCAGCAATGTGTACACTAAGGATATTATTATGTACTATGCTCAGAAAAGCACATCTGTAAAACTGGTGTGTCTTGGTTATTAGTGCTAGGATTTGAACTATCTTTAATTTCATTTGACTTGTTCATCTTCCTTAAGAATCTCCATAAAGATGCACTGAGTATTCTTTTCAGTCCTTAGTTAGGGTTTGCATCAGTGGTCGTAAACCTGCTTAGCGGACAAAGACTCTTTTCCCTTTGAAGTCACTTCCCCAGCTTTTCAAAAGGTCTGCAAGCTGGTTCCCCTAAAACAATTTAGAGAAGTTTGAAGTGGTGCCCCTTAAACCAGCAACAAAATAAAATTTTCTCTTTGCATTATTGAAAACCATGACAATCTTCTGAAGCAATAACAGTTTAAAAGCTTTTAAAGAAATCTGTTCTGCTCTACGACCAGCTTTTAAGTTGACCCCATTATTTGGAAAATCAGAGGCTTGGAAACCCCTAAATACTTGACATTCTTATCAAAGGAGTCAGCCTGACTTTTCACAGGACTCCTCTTTTACAGTATTTATTCAAGTCCTAATTTCTTTAAAGATACTATTCAGATTTCTTCTATTTCTTTTTTGCAGTAAAGAGTTTCTTTAGAACAAATGTAATTTAGTAAACAGTCGATATAATTTATGAACACTGATCCTGCCACCTGTAGATTTATGCTCTATTATGTTTGAAGTCCAGTACCAATTCTAAAAAGACTGAGCATTACTTATGTAATTTTACCTTTCTGTGGACTGTGATAAACATATATGCTCAGTTTCTACTTCTTGTTTTAAGAATCTTGTCTCCTACATTTTACATATATAGTTACTGACAGCCTAAAGTAGGTGAAGCCTACAGTAATGTAGTTGCTGTAAGCAGTAAGTTTACTATAAGGATTTTGTTTATCTATGCCTCCTAATAATTCATTCAGACATTGCTTCTTACAGGTCCTTCTAACTCCAACATCTTATATTAATTATCTCTACTACAACATTGCACATTTAAAACTTCTCTGATTTCAAAAGTTTCATTAACATGTATAGTGTATAATAAGATTAATTCCTTGCTGATCTATGCAACTATGTGTTAAATGCCATTTCTGAAAGGAAAAGAAAGCAAAATAAAGCAATAAAACCAGAATTATAGAATTTTCCTAATGTAGGCAGCTCATTTAAAAGAAAACAAACTAACAAGAGCTTTAAATGCACAAAGCTGCCTCCTGTTTTATGGCTTGGGGACAACAGGGAGAAAGAATTGTGTCAACAAAATTAAATTGTTACTGGATAATAAGGCTGTTATGGTTGCTGTTACGTTTTCCCCTAGAGCTGCAAATTTGTGGCTTGTCTACACAATGTTCATTTATGAATCTTCGAAGGTTCCTGCCCCATGTTAGGTGAGGGAAGTTCAACAGAGCAAACTTTCTCTAAAAGGTTTGTGAGCATTTGTAGGATCAGCCACCCGAGAAGCACCTAGAGGTCATTAAGTCTACCCTTATGCTTCTAATTTGTTGGGAGTTTTTCCTTCGCTTCTGAACTGTCTGCCATACTTCCTGGGTTTGAGTGTGCTTTGCCAAACATTATATGAAACAAAAGCAATAGCTTTTAATGATTATTTATTAAGAGATTAGGGACAATTCAGCAAGTTGCTCCAACGCATTTTCAGATTTAAAATGTTGATAACATACATGTGTATGGGTGTGTGTGTATATTTACATGTATGTATTTAGTGTATATGTATATATCTAAGAAGAAACAGATTTATTTACTTTTCAAGATTTTGTATTGTGGATATAAATTATAGATTATAACAGTAACTGCAGAATAAATAAAATTTTGAAAGGTCAAAATCCTTGATTTGATACTTTGTCATAGATTATGACCTTTTCTAAAAAGCCATTTGAATGTGCCAGCTACACAGGCACTCTGGGAGGTGGTGCAAATGGTCTGAGTAAAAATGTAAAATACGGAGAGTAAGCCAAGCTTTTATTTATGCAAGCCCAGATCTACACTTCTTTTCCACAGAAGTCTCTCACTGTACACATGCAGGGTCTGGGTAGCTACCTGTTTTAGTGTATTTCCATAATTTCTAATAAGACCCAGTACCAGTATTGCTAGTACTGTTAAGGCTCTACAGGGACAAACTAATGACATTATGCTGGTTTTATCTTTTGAAAAGTTACAACCCCAAATGTAATTTGAATGATGCTACCGTAGTAACCAATGGAGTCAGTTGGCCCTATTACTACTGTGTCTCTTTGCAAAACCATCTCCTGTTTTTGCAGTAGAAAAAGTTTGATTTTACTACTGCTTTACTGCCTCGTTCATATCTCACATATCATCATTTATTGTGAAGTAAAACCACTCCCTGCTGCTTAAAAACTCATCTAATCCTTTTTGAAACTACATGATAACATTGCCCCAAATACATTCTTTAGAGTTTATATGCTTTGTAAAATGCTATGAATGAACTAATCATATGGTAGTACAGAAATAAGATTGTGATTTCCATGAAATGCTAGCATTCTTGAAGAGGGTGATCCAGCAAATGACCCGTGAGTGATGTTACAAAACTATTTAAAGAGCTTTATAGCATTTGCTTACCTTTTCTTTGTCTTGACCTGGAGAATAATTTTTTTTTCCCCTTTAAATGTGCCAGTTGTACAATTTCTTTTTATTTATGGTATCCATATATGTTTGATTACAAAGAGAATTTAAAAAAACCCCCAGTTTTATTTGTTCTTGTTGCAGGGAGATGTCTCATAGGACCAATGGTAATTAATGTTGGGTTTGGGTATTTTGATTTTCTGAACTCATCTGAAATTCCTATTGATTACGGTCCCAGCTCCACATCTTAAAAGGAACTAGACGTCAGGCTCAGGTTTCAACACTTACTAGGTTAAAATAAAATCGGACAATGGATGTTTTGCTTCATCTTTGGGCACTGTAGGTGTTTTCTCTCAGTACCTGTCATGGTGACACTTGTGTTTACTTATGCCTGTTATAGGAAAAGGTAGTAATTGACTTAAATATCTTCCTCCACCAAAAAAAAAAAAAAATGGAGAGGGAGACAGAGGGAGGGGAGAATGTGAATCTGTGTGCAGGCTGAATTCCTGTAGTATACTGCTGCTGTCCTATATAGATATGAGTACAGAACAACCATATGCAAACAGTAGCATAGAAGTGATTTGTAAGGAACATGAACTCAAAGAGCAAGGAAACTGAAGGTGCTTCAGTGTTTGAAAGCAGCAATTTTAGAAACAGATTGTAACCAAGGATTGCTGTTATTTTTTTTTATTGAAGGTGATTTTGCAACTCCTCGAGCTATTTTGACAGGACATGACTATGAGATCACCTGTGCTACCATTTGTGCTGAACTTGGCCTGGTAATAAGTGGTTCAAAAGGTAAGGTAGCTGTTGTCATTTCTTTCTGTTCATGAAGCTATAATCCTAATGCAAAAAGGAATATAGTCTCAGGTGGCAGAATTTATTAAGTTTATGGTAGCTTTATTTCTAACCTTTTTTTTAGTTGCTATGGAATTTGAAAACTCTTTTTAAACACGTTAAAATGGAGGATTATTCAGACATTTACAAGAAGCAGCAACCTCATCAGTTTCCCTATTATAGCTTACTGATCACTGTTTCTTTTTGTTTGTTTATCCAGTGTGTAACTGCATATAGCATACAGTTGGATACAGCTCTTCGCTGCCAGGACGGTGAAGAATATTTGTTATGCATAACTTCTCAGAAAGGGAAGCAAAAATTAGTTTCAGGAGAAAGAGAATGTGCTGTCTTGTTTGTTTGATGAAGGGTCTATATAAACTACCAACTAAATTTTATAGTGATTCTGTTCAGGCTCTTTGAGCTTAGCTACAAAGCCTGTAATATGCCCCATTTGTGTTCTCAAAGATTTGATTTTGGCAGGCAAATGATAAAGAATGGTGTTGATTCTATGGATATTGTTTATCATTTTCCTATTTGCTGGTCCACAATTATTTTTAAACTGGAAATTTCTTAGAATTAGGATCCTTCTGCTTTAGTGTTTCCAAAGTACCTACTTTGAGACGCTTTTTCAAAGTTGGGTGTACTCACCATATGCACCTGTATGTGTTTCTGTTTTACGCATGTGAACACTTGTGGCTTACATGAAAATTGGGTATTTTTCCAAATACATCAAAAAGCAAATATTTAGTGGATCATGTATGGGTTAAAATCTTAATATGAGAATATATACTTTTAGAGTACCTGCGTATGTACATTCATTACGCTTACCTCTGTGTGTCTTCGTATTTTGAAAATCTCATTTTAGAATTCAGTACATTTATTTTTGTGCTCTGAAAATTAGCTGCTACCAGTTTTAAAAGAAAACCTACAGAAGAAATTGTTAGGTCTCTAACTAGTTTTGATAGGTGCTCTAAAATACCTTAATACAAAGCTTTTAAGGGATAAGCTGTTCATTTTACTCTCTGACACCCTTAAAGTCCGCTTAAGCATGGTAAAAATCATTAGAATGTATTATAATAGTGATTACCTAAGTAGAAGTCATTACTTATTATTTGATATATGATGTCTTTAAATGAGCGTGTAAATCAATAACTAGAGATTTTATTCTGTCTTGTTAGAAGGACCGTGTCTCATACATTCTATGAATGGAGATCTACTGAGGACATTGGAAGGTCCTGAAACAGGTCCTGAAAACTGCCTGAGACCAAAACTTATTCAAGCTTCAAGGGAAGGCCATTGTGTCATATATTATGAAAATGGCCTCTTCTGTGTATTCAGTGTGAATGGGAGACTTCAAGCCACTATGGAAACAGATGACAAGATAAAGGTGAGTGTACTCAAATGTGTGCTAAGGACTGTCAGTTCCAGTATCAGGAAAAGCTATCAATTTTGGAGTTGTCTGGAGACTCTTTCTATAGCCAGGCCATAGAAATATATGGTAATAAACCGTAATAGCAGCATTCTGAAAAAAATTGTAGTTAAGGGGACCATGTACTCCTAATAGTACTGTTTTTAATTTTAAAATAACTGTGTTCATACAGTAAGGAGTAGCCTGTAGGCATTTCCTTGAACTGAAGAATACAAATATTACTAATTGCTGACCAGGAGAAGCCAGCTTACTGCTTTACTTTTGAGTCTGAAGGCAGGAGGTTGTTGGACATGCTGTTTTGGATGTTGGCTTTCCCTTTTTTGGCATCTCTTGTCTACATTGCTTCATCTTAGCTTGAGATAGCATGTGTTGTGTTGTGTTGAGCTTCAGGAAGTTTATAGGCATATGCCCTTTGGCATTTGCTGAGCAGGCAGCTAGGTTCCACATCTTTAGCTGCAAGAGACATGGAGCAAGTCCAAAACTATGCAGGAGGCATTTTAAGCTTATGGTTTTGTGGAAATTATTTTATAATACAAAATGCAGGCCTTTGACATTTCCTATGAAATAGTACCTATGAAGCAGAGCAGAACCTGCCAGCTATACTGCAGTGAAGCAGAAATGTCTAAAGAATACTTTCCTCAAATTAAAAATATTCCCACATTTTCCTTGAATGAGAAAGAAAGGAAAGGGAAGGGGAAAAAATGAACAAGCATTACCAAATCTGCTAGAAAGTTACAGAATGCAGCAGAGACATGAAGCAAGATTACATTGCTGGGTCAGCATTTAGGCTGCCTGAATTATCTGAAGTTACGGTCTCTATGCCAGTAGGCATGGTCTGTGAGACACAGAATCACAGAATGGTTGAGGTTGGAAGGGACCTCTGAAGATGATCTGGTCCCGCTCCCTTGCTCAAGCAGGGCCATCTAGAGCCAGTAGCCCAGGACCATGTCCAGATGGCTTTTGTATATCTCCAAGGATGGAGATTCTGCAGCCTCTCTGGACAACCTTTGCTAGTGCTCGTTCATCCTCACAATAAAGAAGTGTCTCCTATGTAAAAAATGTTTAACTATTTAACATCAGCATGAGGAGACTTTTGTTGTTGTGAGCATATAGCAGTACAACACCTCCAAGCTGATTTTCTTAATCTGATGGAAGAGCCTAGCAGCTCAGCTGCTGCGATTTCCAATATTCTCTTCAGCTGAAAACTCTCAAAAGTTTTTCCTTTATTTGGATTAGATGTCTCAGGAAGAAAATGCCTCTTCGCCCTCATGTTTGTTTTACAGAATTACTGAAATTCTTTCAGATAATGTGCAAAATTGTGAGCATTTTTAAATTTGCACCTGTTCTTCTTTTGACTCTATTCATATTAATTCTTAAGGTGGAAGAATATGTCAATATATTTGAAAGTATTTTGATCTTCATTATTTCCATTTTATAACTTACATGGAACAGTGAATGCTCCATTACCACTGAAGTCTCCAGTGTAGTTCAGTGTATTCCACTTCAAACCTTCTAAAACTCTGTTGTGTACTATACTCTGTTAATCCAGCATCCCTGTGTTTTCAAAATGTCAGATACACTGGTGGTGGAATATGCAGAAATAACCCTCTTCGTAGGTCTGTTTTCCATAGTGAGAGTGCTGTCTGCGGGGGTGAGAGGGCATGCGATCTTTGGATGCTGTGGCAGCCACAAGTGCAAATTCGAGGCTGGGGAAATTAAGTAGGAACGTGTATATTTCTGTCCTGAGCCATTTTTCCAAATTAATGTAGATTCTTGATTCAATTTTTAATCTTTCTTCAGTTCTCTGAAATTGCACCTTTGGCTGTCCTTGTACAAATGCTTTTGAGATTTTCAGCCTACCCTTCATCCCAGTTCTTTCCATAAAGCAAGAACATATCACAGCGTTTTCTCTTTTTACAATAATAATGTTGATAATCTGTCACTTTCAGTTGTGATTATGTTGTCAGCTAGGCCAGCAAATCTGTAAAATATCTAGAAATCCCTTGCTGGCTAAAACAATTTCTGTAGTGTTTCAGTCAGTACCCACAGCTTTAGGAATGTTGCTAGAGGCAATGGAAGTTCCGCTCTCTGTGGGCTAGAATTACGTATGTACAGGGATTTGAGTTTTATTTTGTTTTGTTTTGCTTTCTTTCTCTCCCAGTGGTCCCTGTTGGGCTTTACGCTTAAACAACCTACAGCGTCTTTCCCAGTGCTTCTGCACTATATCATGTTAGAAGGCAAGTGGCGACTGCATGATTAAAGTAGGGGCATTTAAAATGAATAGACCTACGCACGGGCTGTGCTGACAAACACTTCTTGTTGGTTTTTGCTCAAGGAGGATAGAAAAGGGAAGGAAAAGGTTGGAAGTGTTGAATCTCTAATGTAACATTCTGGTTTCTATTTTCCTATGTCATTATGGACCAGTATTTCAGAACATTATTGACAAAACTAACAGTTTTCAATAGCCATGTTTGGAACAACATTCTGATTTTCTTTCTTGTATTCTTGTGCTAGAAAACTGCTAGAAAAATTTCAGACGTTGTGGGGAAATGCAGTCTAATCAATGCCTTCCACCTGCTTTTGTTTTAAATACTGTATTGCTCAGTGGAGCTTGGTCATATCACAGTACATCTACCATGTAATGTTTAGATATCTTAATGAATAACTTAACTCTAAATAGTCTGCTTGTTTTGAGAAGTAAAGTTATTTTACCCTAAACAAAGACTGTATGCTGTTTCACCCAGAGGAACCAATTTATTTTCCTTTCCTGAGTCTGTTTTGAAATGTGGAAGTGCCCACAAGACTCCTGCTGCTGTAAGCCAGAGCTGTCACAGTGTCAGCTCTGCCTTTTTACAAAGCACTGCCTTTCAAAAATCTGAGATGTTAAAAGGGATTTGTGCAAAGTTTTGAGACTTTCCAAGGAAATACAAGTCAGAAATGCAGCTTTTAGAACATTGATGAAATTGTGTGCTTTGGGGATTATTTGAGAGTCTGAAGCTCGTGTTGTGAGAAAGATTAGTTGCAGAGTTGTTTCAGTTTCATACCGAGCAGAATCATAGATAAACTACGCTGGGGAAAAGCAGAACAGTAAAATTGATTCATGTCATCTTCTATACCAGTTGGAGTACTTGGGAGGAAAAGCATCCTTTCGTTTGTTAAATCTTGAAGGGCATGTCATGAAACTGAAATGTTGACAGGGTGACCTTTTTCTTCCATTCATTCCTTCATTCATATATATATATATATATAGGCAAGTGGCTGAGAAATTTATTAATAAACAATAAAAATATATAAATCAACATCTTGTCTTCATGACAAGCCAATGACTTAGTAAAATTGCATAGGTATTAGTAAGGGTTCAAAGCCTATACTTTATTTAATCAAAAGAGCACAAAACTCACTGCATTTTGCAGGTAGTGGAAGAATTAAAGATTAATGGCTTTAATTTGCCTTTTAACATAGCATTTCTTCAGTAAAAGCCTCAAGTATAAAATTCAAGTGAACCATGACCATAAGGTTAATGGATTTTCATCAGCTGAATTTTATAAGTGTAGCAAATAATTATTTGTCACAGTGTTCATTGCAATTTGAAAATACCCTTAGGAGACTGCCATTGCTATAGAGAAGAAAACCACCCTATATTGATTTTTGCTTCTAATGAATAATCTTTTTAATAATTGTGTGTGGTATGTTAGATCTCATGATCATCTACTCAGTGCGTGCAAGTTCTAGATAATTTTCACAGTCTTATCTCAGTTTGTTTTCTACCCCTTTCTTACTGAGTTGCTATACTCTTAGAAGAAGGTCTCTAAATGAGTTTTCAAGCTCCTTGAGGCAGTGCTTTGGGAGGTGCTTAGCACATTTTTGTAGGCTGGTAGAAACAATCACAGAAGCAATTTATGGTTGGAACATTTGTTTTTGGGGGGGAGAAGCTTCAGCTCAGAATACTCCATTCTAACCTTGGTTAGTATTCAAATTTCCATACTTAGATATGGTTGGAAAAGAACTCCATGTATTCTGCTTTATTGAGTCTAAATTTACATGTATGTGTTGTCATCTTAACTCAAAACACAGCTGGAATAAGTTTATAATTTTTTTTTCAGTGTTATACTATTTTGTTTACAGTATATGTTTGTATTTCAATTACATTCATTTTACAGTTAATTGTGTGAAATAAAATTTTAGCAGTGTGATTCATTCTGATTACTTGGGAGTTGTTGCAGTAAACATTCAAAATTTATAATATAATATAGAAACTCTATCTTAATGTAAGTGTTGCACATCATATAATTCTTAAAGGATATATTTGGCATCACAGTAATAGAGTACAGCAATACAAAAAATACAGATGTGCAGTATGTCTGACTTCAATTATTGCTGTTCACGAAACAGTATCTTACGTACACTGTATATTTTGGTTTATAGGCTTGTCAGCAGTCTGTATAAACACTTTAATGTTGCATGAATGTAACATTTTTGTGTTTTAGTTTCTCTCATTTTTGTGGTGCATGTGCTATAAATTCTGTGTATTAAAAAAACAACTTCCTTTTCCTGAGGAATTTAAAATCACAGTATGTTACAAGTTTTGCATATCGAAAAACTGTAGAAGCAGAGATTGCAAGTGCCAAAATACTTGCAGACTTCAGCAGAGAGAGATATGTTTGCAAGATCCTGTCTTCAGTTCTTTCTACTGTTTCCTAAATTTAAATCTTTGAGCTGGAATCTTGCTTATAGACTATCATCTTGAGGCAATTTCCTTGCCTTGCAGTGACAATATTTTAGTTAAAGTGGATCAATCTATTTGTAGAACATGTGTGTTTGGAATTTAAAAGCCATTGCTCTGAATATCCTCCATTTTTACATTTTTTCTGATGAAATGTTTTGTGGCTCCCTGCATTGGGTGAGGGAGCTGAAATTTATCATGAATTATTCCTGGTGTGAAGGATGTGTATTTTGTTGAAAAGCTGCCCAAATTTAGCTGATTCACAAATCTCAGGTTAAATGCATTCAGTAGGTAATTCTTAGCATCTACATTCTGTACTGAACATCTGTAGCCCAAGGATGCAGATTTTTCCCCTGCGACCAATCATCCCCTACAGTGCAGTGCACAAAAATGCCATGGCAAGAAATGTGATGAGGTGATCCTGGATGAGGAAGGGGAACTGATGGGAAAGCAGAGATGATAGAAGAGCAGAAGAAAGGATAGAACCAAGAACAGAATGAAAGAGATGTTTGCAAGAGCAACTGGAATAGAGAATTAGAGATGGGAATGTAGAAACTTGTCAGAGTCTGGGAGAAGACAAGAAGAGGCAGGAAGGAGTGAAGGAAAACTAGGAATTGGAAGTAGGAGCAATGGAGAGAAGGATTAGGTAGGATCAGCAGTTTAATATTAGTGCTTCACAGTAGCAAAGGTCCTTATTTTCCTTTTGATAACAGCAAATGATCCAGCAAAGAGCTAGCAAAGTTGTTTGTCACCCTTCTGTGTGCTCAAATGAAGAGGATGATAGGCTGCTGCTGTGCGCAGTATTGCATACAAAAAATAAAAGTAGAGAGCAGAGAAGGGAAAAAACAGAAGTTAAGCTGGGAGGAAAAGTCAGAAAGAGAACTCAGAAGAGGCACCTGGAAACAGGAGAGCATAGGAAAAGGTTTCAGCTTACAGGAGTTATTAATAATGGGCCAAACTGTAGTTTTAAGGGTCTTGATCTTGCTGGTAGCTCATGCTGATGTCATTCCACATAACAGAATTCATTCAACTTTGGGGGTTTGGTTTTTTGGAAGGCCTTACAAACCCTTCAGTTTTCCCAGATAGTTGGAGGATGAGGCTATAAAATCAGGTCCTGGTATCCTCTATACTTAAGTTTATTTTCTGCATGGCAGCAGGACAGGGTCTTCCTTTCAGAAGAAGTTTTGTACTCTTCAGGGTTACTGTAGTAGTAATTGCTAAGACGCATATGGAAAAGATGTGTAAAATCTTAGTATTGCTGTGAGAAAAGTCAGTAACGGAGTCTTCTAGGGTTTAATGTTGGGAACTAGTTTTATTCAGTATTTTCTGAGGTGGGCAATGCTGAAGGTCTACAAAATGATGAAGGCAATGGGTGAGGTGAATGCAGAACTGTTAGTCAGGAAACCCCACAATGAGACACCTATGGGATACTCATTGAAACTAGTAGGATCACTTCAAAACATAAAACTATTTTGCACTGTAATGAACTTCTGCCATTATTTTTTTTTTTCCTCCACAGAAGGCATCAGCAGGCTCAAAAACAGATTAAGAAAATTCATGGGTAACATGTCCATAAATAGATACTAAAGGGAATGGACAGAGATATACTTTGTGATATTCCTGATGCCGTGATTGTGGTTGCGGGGGAGCACAGGGGGAAGGAACTGTAGAGTGGCCAGTCCCACAGCATCTCCTGCTGCCACTGCTGGTGATACAACACTGGGCTAGATGGATCATGGTCTGTCTGACCCCATAGGGTATCACTTTAATAAAATTTCAAGTTCAGTTCTCTTAAACCACATTTTGGCCTATTTAAACCAGCAAAATCCCTCCTTAACTAATATTTCTTAGGTTTCCAGTCATCTTAATATCTGATAGTGTCATCTGGTATAGTCATCAGGTAACTGAGGAAAGTTGCTGTTCTTCCAAGTACTCAGAATTTATCATGATTTTTCTAACAGCACACAAGAAATATCAAAATAGATTGAAGATTCCTGTTACCAGAAGTCTTCACTGTGAAAACCAATTATATCCCATCTTTCTCCATTATCTGGATCACAAATAAAGATTTCAAATGTAGATTTGCCATCAGTCCCCATGATGCATGCAAAATCAGGGTGTAAGCCATTGAATTTGTCACAGGCAGTTTCAGGATAGATGATAAAAGGAAACACAGTCTCTATTAAGAGGGGTGGATCATTATCTTAGTAATCCAGAGCAGGAATTAAAAAATGCTGGTCTAAATTAATTCTAGTAATTTTTATAACATTTCAGTTCCTTCCATCATTCAACCTTTTGCCAGAGAGAAAAAGAGGATAGCTTCTGCTAGGCCAGTATTAAAGACCCTTGGGGGAATGTCAGGTACTGTATTTTAATGCCAGTGCTGCTGGATCTTGTAAATCTAGCTAATTAAAAGAGTAGATTTCTTTAGCTGACCTCATATTAGATCTTTGGAATACTGAATAAATGACAGGTGAGGTAAAACTTAACTAGTGACATCTAATGTATTAAAGACATTTCTGCATAAGAACATTAATTCTGTTGCGAGGTGGAATAACGTAACAATAATGTCGCTTCCTAAAAGCTTGTGTTGATATCAAGTCTCCCTACACATTCAGCTGTCAATATGAAAATTTTTATGAAAGTAAAAGAGGGGGAGTAAGAGCAACACATATTTATCTGACAAATATCCATGTGATTTCCCCCTAGGCAATTCAGCTGAGTCGAGATGGACAGTATCTGCTTACAGGTGGAGACAATGGAGTTGTCATGGTATGGCAGGTGTGGGACCTCAAGCAGCTTTTTGCTTACCCAGGGTGTGATGCTGGAATCCGATCCATGGCCCTGTCTTATGACCAAAGGTTAGAGCAAAGTCTGGTCTTCACAAGAATTTCACAGAATATATACTTACAATTAAATTGCATTTTTGTTTTTCTTCTGATTTTTATTTTCTGTGGATCACAGATCCTGGTGATTATATTGAGAATTCTGCAATTGCATAAGTTTCTTTCTAATACGTCATATTTAGGGCAGATAATATTTTTCAGGATTTCAGTTTGGGGGAATGAAGAGAGATTCAAGAAATCTTACTTTGACAGACTTTCAAGATAGGTTGAGTTATTGGCCTGTGCCAATGTACAGTGTGGGTCACATGGAGGCGGAAGGTTACATATGTGCTTTTCATGTTTCTTCTTTCACTTATGATACAAATCACATTCCTAATTCCAGACCTTTATGTTGAAAATAGAACAGTTAGAATAGTTGCACAATAAGATTCCCTCCACACGTCCATGTTTTGCTAAAGCAAATATTAATTTTCATTTCTAGAAAAGTTTTTTTATCCACATAAAGCATGACCCTCCTTGAAGATTCCTTCAACTGAAGGCAACTGGTTAATATTTCTACTGGATTTTTACATTACGCTTTCCAATGCAGCTGTACTTAAAAGTCCTTCTGTGTTTTTATCACAAAGTATTGTTTGTTTATAAGATGGATGTTTACCGTTTCATTTGCACACTTCTAACTTGCCGGCTAGAATTTTGTTTGCTTTGGTATATTTGCTGAGTGGAGTTCCTGTGTACTCTTCAAGCAGATTTGGCTCCTAAATCACTTAGGAATGCCTACATTGGGCAGTAAAGCATATTGTTGAGACTCTTAATCTTCCGATTACTGAAGTCCATACTGAATGTTTTAACATTTTTACCTGGACTACATTTCTAAAACTTACATAAAATGAACTTAAAAAAATCCAAGCCAGCAAAATCTGTGGACTTCAATCAAACATTCAACAACTTCTTGTTAAGCATAATTAGAGATTATAGGCATTTTGGAAGAAGCAGTTTTCCATTAAAAAGCCCCTGCTGTTAAAAACATTTCAAAAGCTGGAGTTACAGCTGTCGAATTTTAGACCTCTGAAATGTAAAAAATTTTGCATTTAGGGAATCTTTAAACTGGTAATTAATGGCATGTCAACATAATCTTTGCATGTCAATAAACTGAAATTTAATATGGACATCTATAAATTTATCCGTGTGCTCAAGTTAGGAACCTATTCACTTCGGGTTTGAAGACACAGAAACTCAGAAGAGATTACTCAGAGTATTTTACTGAGTAATTACTCAGAGTAATTTATTTGGTATGGATGAATATATGTGAGTGAGTGACAGTGTGTAAAAAGACATTTTAACCTAATACAAAAACAATCAAAATGGTGCTCTTGAAATAGTGTGTTACGATCAAAACACAATGATCTTATATTCAGTCTTTGTTTTGATGGAAAAAAGTACAGCTTTTTACTCTGAATGTTTTTTTTTTTAATGCTGAGGCTTTTTTCTAAAGTGCCAGAATTTTCTATGTCCTCATATGCTTGATTTTCCTAAAACTTTAATATGAGACAGTAAAAAAGATGATATAGAAACCCTTGTAATTGTGTGCTATGTCAGGGTCATGGCTTTTTAAACCGACCTAAATGATCTCTAGTAGTAGGCCAAGGGTAAGGAGTTTAGAAAGAAAGAGTGCCTCGGTGGGAAAGCACAGCGATTGCTTTCAGGAACTTCCAAAACAATCAAAGCCTTCAGATTGCTTTCAAACCCAAACACTAACATTTCCAACTGAAGTCCTGTGCCCACATCCAATTCCTTTATCTGGATCATGTGCTTAAATGGGGGAGGCGAATCTGAAACGAACACTTCTCCTAGCCTTCCTTCACTGTGCTGCTTCATCAGTGCTTCGTCCCACTCCAATACCCTGCAAAAACCAACCAAGCAAGCCAAGAAATAATCCCCAGGAAACCTGAAGCGGCCTTGCAGGACAGTGATGCTGGTAAACAATTCTGTTGTCTAACTCTCAATTGTAGCTTCAGGCTGACCACACAAACTGTTGCGTGGTGTTTTGTATGTTCTGTGATCCATAAATCTGTCAGAGGTGGCAGTTTTATTCAAATCCAGTTTGCTGGAGTCCTTGGAAGCCCAAGATGGGAGCCCCTAGAGCCTGACTTTTCCGGTACGTGGAGCTCTTCCAGCTCTAGCTGTCTTTGGTGGAAGTTGGTCATTGCCTTGAGTTCTCGCGCCTGTATTGATGTAACTCTTCGGTGTGTTGGCTCATATATCTGAATGTGAGGTGGTTCACTAACAGATATGGTCTTCTGCTTTTCTTAGGTGTATAATGACTGGCATGGCATCTGGGAGCATAGTGGTTTTCTACAATGATTTCAATCGTTGGCACCACGAGTATCAGACCAGATACTGATCTTCATAGAGACCAAGATTAGCACTGATGTGCGCAGCTGTTGTCAGAAGGAAACTGAACACAGCACGCCTCCCTTGGTGTCTTGCCACAACGTTGTTCCTTATAAATAGCTATATTACATCTGAATGTAACTTAAATTTGCTGGAAGAAGCAACCTATTTTTTAAAGTTAATTGCTATTTTTGTAGACCTTGCTTGACTTTTTTGGGGGAAGGGCAAAGAAGCAGAAAAATGGCTGCTGGGTTCTGTAGTTAAAAATCTATATTTTTAGTCATAATGAGAAGTCTATTTTGATCCCTGTATGTAAAAGAAACCTAAAGTAAAGATGGTTAAAACTCACATTCTAGCTATATTATGAAGAAACGGATTTTCCATCTGAAGCTTTATCTATAACCTTGAGGAATATATGATTTTAACATAATGGAAATGAATTACGATGTTTGGGGAATTTTAATCTGTGCTATCTGTACCACACTTTGTCTCGTACTTTTCCAAATGATTGTACTGCATCAGCACTGAAGTTTCTGGGAATCAGTGGTAATATTTAAATTATGGTTAATGTAATTTTAAACTTTGCAAATCGTTTCCATCAATGTTACTATTCAAGCATGTTTCTAGGCTTAGACAATTAGTTCTTTTTTAGTTGTATGTTTTGTGCAGTTAAGAGAGAGAAATTGGGAATGGATTTTATGTTACATCAAGTGTGAATCCTAGTTTCTACCTGGCATCTCCTCCAAAGCACACCAAAATGTGGATTGTTCCTCAAAATCAGAAAGGCTATTTTGAAGACTTTAAACTCAAATTAGAAACCCACAGTGGTAGGTATTTTTTAATAGGTGCAAGTACCAAAGCACACTTCTGCTGGTTGACTGTGAAAGCACTAAAAAGGCAGGTGTTTCCTGGTGCACAGCCTCTATACAGCAGCAGAAGCCCTAGACTTGCAGGTGACTTTTTTTTTCCTAGAACTAGCCCCTGCAGTACTGTAGCATATGCCATATTCCTTTTCTGCGTATAGCAACAATATCTTTTATATTTTGCTATCACCAAATCCAGTCAGATCCTGCCCAGTCATATTAAATTACCTCTTTTAGGAATGAAAAATAATTTATACTAAGGAACAATAAGTTATTTTGGTGTTGCACAAATTACTTTTCTACAAGATTGCTGTGCAGAACTCTGTTAAAATATTTGTGAAAAGAACTGTTACTGTTTTGTAAGTCTGTATTGCATAAAAATCTTCTTTGTATGTTGTGATCTCTATGAGTTGAAATTTACATTCCATACCTGTATTGATACATACCTTTCGCTAGCTGCCTACTAGAGCAGTTCCTGTTTTTTCTAAGCATTTAACTACTATCTCTTTCAGTAAAGATTTGGAATGAGAAAATTCAGTTTGAGTGAAGAAATTAAATAAAATTACATTTGTAATTGAGTAGTGGAGTACTGGGTTCTTGTGATTCAATGTATAGAGGAAATGGGTACCATGGCTAATGCATTTAAAGTACTCTTGGCATTTATGCAATGGTGACCAAGTTTTCTGTGCTTCCTGCATTTTTATACTGATGTGGTTATGGTGGTATCAGTAGAGTTACATGTTTTGTGTAGCAGAAGGATGATCTTTTTAAGCGAAGGCTATAGTTGTCATATCTGTGGTAAGTGCCCAGTGTATTGAACAGTAACATTTGTTATGCAAAACTTGTACTTCACACTTACTTAAGTTCAACAACATTCATAGCTTTATGTAAGATTTTGAGGGGAAGTTGGTATGCTCTTGAAGGGCAATTTGCATTTGTCTCAAGCCAGGGATGGGTTACCTAGGCTAGGTGCAGGGAAAAAAAAACAAACAAAAGTATATTTTGCCAAAGGGAAATCCTGGAAGTCTTCTCTTTATAATCTCCTGCTGACTTAGGAAACACTTTATTATTGATAGAAGTGATGGTGTCTGATCTTAGAGCCAAAATATTTCATGGGGAGTTGATTTGGTAGATTGCTTGTTTTAGAAGGGACCCTATTGATCATGAGATGCTTTCCCAAACTGACAGCACGACTGTATCTGTGCGTGCTATCCCGAGTTGCATCCAGCCAGCGCGTGCTAATGGGCAGCTGCGCGATGGTATCAAGTACTCCTCGGGGAAGCAGCCGCAGCAGCGCACTGTGGTGTTTTGCACATTATGAGTGCTGCAGCCCTTCTGTGGAAAAGGACATCTTCACCTTCTGCTCCGTGAGCAAGCCTGTGAAGACACCCCCATTCTGGACTGCTTTGCTGGTGGCTTTGGTGAGTAGGACATACCCCTCCTTCCATGGGTAAAGAAACGTACCTCAGACACTGCCCTGGGACTCAGGCTTCCACCTGGAGTCTCAGCTTGGCTGAACTTAGTCCGTGTCATGCTGTTTGTGATGAGGTGGCAAAAAAGGGTTAAATTTCCAACTGTTCGGGTATTTGTTAGTCTATTCAGGGCAGCACATGTGTCAAATGGATTACCTGAAACCTGTTTAATCAACAGTTGCCAGGCACTAACCTGCAGCTGGGCCTCAGCTAGCAGTTATTTGCAGAATATTCCTGAAGAGAGGGAGCTGAGTCCTCTATTTCCTCAGAATTCAGAGGGAGCATGTATGAACAGCTTTTTTTTTATGCGACATTCTGGGCTTGCTTCTGTTCTGGTGAGTTCAAACAGACACAGTGTTAGCTGTAGTTTATGGCACGTGCTCTGGAAAGCAGCGTTTGCTGCTGCTGAGAGTGAGGCTGGTTAGCAGAAGTGCTGCAAGTTTGGTTTGTGGGGAAATACTTAGCGCAAGTAGTTTGAAATCCCTTCTATTTTGTGAAAATTGCTGATATAAATGCTGTAGGATCTGGCAAGAGACGGTAGTGTGTTCAGAGTGGTGGTTTCTCTGAAGGAAGTTCGTGTTGTGGTGTTACTGCAAGCAAAAGTAAATTAATGCCATGATACTTTTGAGAATATTTCTTCAGTTCTTGGCTGTGTTGTGCTGTGTGTTATCAAAAAGCCTCTACACCTGAAAAGTGGCCTTGTGCAAAGTATATATATTTGTTACTGTTTCTGGTCCTGACATACTTTTGGTGGTCCTCCACCTACCTGCAGCACCTTGTTTCTGCTAAAGATTCCAACTCTGCTGGTTTAGCAGTTTGCAGAATAAATGTCCAAAAGAGCTGATCTGATACCAAGGTAATGCAGAGTTATCTGTGGATGTTCTGCTAATGGGGGTTGTTATTTACTAGGAAAGGGAGAGTTTAGAATCATAGAATCATTTAGGTTGGAAAAGACCCTTAAGATTGAGTCGAACTGTAAACCTAACACTGCCAAGTCCACCAGTAAACCACATCCCTAAGTGCCATGTCTATACGTCTTTCAAATACCTCCAGGGATGGTGACTCAACCACTTCCCTGGGCAGCCTGTTCCAATCCCTGACAACCCTTTCAGTAAAGAAATTTTTCCTAATATCCAATCTAAACCTCTCCTGGTGCAACTTGAGGCCATTTCCTCTCGTCCTATCTCCAGCCACCTGACAGAAGAGACCAGCACCCACCTCACTACAACCTCCTTTCAGGTAGTTGTAGAGAGTGGTAAGGTCTCCCCTCAGCCTCCTCTTCTCCAGGCTAAACAACCCCAGTTCCCTCAGCTGCTCCTCATAAGACTTGTGCTCCAGGTCCCTCACCAGCTTGGTTGCCCTTCTCTGGACACGCTCCAACACCTCAATGTCTTTCCTGTGGTGAGGGGCCCAAAACTGAACACAGTACTCGAGGTGCGGCCTCACCAGTGATGAGTACAGGGGGACGATCACCTCCCTGCTCCTGCTGGCCACACTATTTCTGATAGAGGCCAGGATGCCGTTGGCCTTCTTGGCCACCTGAGCACACTGCTGGCTCATATTCAGCCGGCTGTCAGCCAGCACCCCCAGGTCTTTCTCTGCTGGGCAGCTTTCCAGCCACTCTTCCCCAAACCTGTAGCGCTGCATGGGGTTGTTGTGACCCAAGTGCAGGACCCGGCACTTGGCCTTGTTGAACCTCATACAATTGGCCTCAGCCCATCGATCCAGCCTGTCCAGATCTCTCTGTAGAGCCTTCCTACCCTGAAGCAGATCAACCCTGCCTCCCAACTTGGTGTCATCTGCAAACTTGCTGAGGGTGCACTCAATCCCCTCATCCAAATAATTGATAAAGATATTAAACAGAACTGGCCCCAATACTGAGCCCTGGGGAACACCACTTGTGACTGGCCGCTAACTGGATTTAACTCCAGTCACCACAACTCTGGGCCCAGCTGTCCAGACAATTTTTTAGCCAGTGAAGAGTGCACCTGTTGGCCACGAGCAGCCAGTGTTTCCAGGAGAATGCTGTGGGAAATGGTATCAAAGGCTTTACTAAAGTCAAGTAAACAACATCCACAGCCTTTCCCTTGTCCACTAAATGGGTCACATTGTAATAGAAGGAGATCAGGTTAGTCAAGCAGGACCTGCCCTTCACAAACCCCTGCTGACTGGGCCTGATCACCTGGCTGTCCTGTACGTGCCATGTGATGGCACTCAGGATGATCTGCTCCATAACCTTCCCTAGCACTGAGGTTAGTCTGACAGGCCTGTAGTTCCCCAGATCCTCCTTCTAGCCCTTCTTGTAGATACCTGTAGATGTTAATACTACTATGGTACAGTGGTAGCTGGTTTTTACAACTACTGTCAGAAGTTGGCATGATTTGGGGGTTCTTATTGTAATTCTAAAAATATGCAAATTGAATTTGTTTAGAAACATTATTCAGAACCTTTTCTGCTGTGGTGCTTTTAATGTGTGGGATCAGGCTGGGGATTTTTAAGGAACAGTGGAGTTTCTTCAGTTATTCCACATACCTGAATAGCAGCAACAAAAACCTGACCTATTTTTCATACAGAGTTGGTGTTCTGGAACAAAATATTGTTTTCATTTCTTTTAGTAGCAAAAGGAAATTAAAAACTGGGACTTCTGTGGGAAATGAATGTTATTGCAACTTTAGTCAGGACATAATTGCTGTTAGATACATTGAATAAGAATGGCCTAGATATTGTGACTATCTAGATTGTAGCTTTTCCATTTTATGTACTAAGTTTCATATTTACAGAGATTTAAGTGTGCTTGTGTTGTTACAGCATCTGTTTTGCTTTCTCTTATACTTAGAAGTAATGCAAAGGGAATAAAAGATGACTACACTGTTTTTGAGAAACTAGCTGCATCCTAGTTAAATAAAACGAGAGATGGGCCATTCTGTGGGTGCTGCTCTAAACCAGTGAGTCCTTTCCCATATAGGGTCAGGATATTTGTGTAAAGCTTGAGATGACTCACTCGCTTGGATTTCCCACGTGACACAACATTACATGAAGTACATTTCATTACATGAAATCGAAAATAGTTTACTTTTATGCAGAAAAAACCTAAGAGCTTCAGTAAACTAATACAGTTAACGATGCATGTCCGTGCTTACGCATCATAATTTTAAGCTGCTCTTTAAAAGCTCTGGATCAAAAACTGTAGGAAATGGTTTCTGATTTTGTTTAGATTTAGTGAAATTCAACTACATTTAACCTAAAGCCCTGGAATTTAAATACAGCCAGTCTCATGAGGAAAAAAATTGATTAAAACATACAAAACAGATTTTGAAAGAAAAAATTCTTGTATCTAAATATTTATTTTTAGTTGAGACTTCTTATAAAGAAGCATATTATTATAAAGAGTATGTAAAATATTTTGCAACTTTTTAGAAATTATGGAAATACAACTACTGTCTTGTAAATGAATTGAGATAGTATCAGAAAGCATAGTCTTGAAACCAAAGAGATTTGTATATTTAGTAAAATCTGAAATTACATACAACTTCACCCTTGGGACTGCATCATATAGTCAACTAATTAATTAAAGACATTTAGATGCATGCTTTGGGAATTATGCTGTATTGCATGGGAGTAGATGAAAAGAGGTTTTCAAAATGTGATACTTGCTATTTGTTAAATGAACAGAGTTTGAGATATGATCATTTACTATTTTCTTCCAGTTCTAATTTTTTTCTTCCCACTGTTGGTTTGTTCACTGTGTATTGTGAGCTCTGAGCTGCAAAATGCTGTAGCACAACTGAGTCTAACTGGGTGTTTAGAATGTAGTATATTCAGCACTAGATATATCCAATAACAAATAGATGATTTTGCAGATTGCTCTCGCATTTTGTCTTGCTTTTTGTCTTGTTTATCCTATGTGCTCGGGATCCTTTTTCAAGCAAGACCCGGTAGCTGCAAAACCAAAATCTGACCATTTTAAACAATAGAGCCTAGTGTCTTTTTAAGCAAAATGTTTAAACTTTAAGTGTTCAGAGTTTAAGCACTCTAAACTTCAGTATTCCATATTAAATGGCAAATATTATTTTGGGGAGAAGGGAATAGTTGCTGCTACTTCTTGGTGAGGCTGTGTTTCTCTGAAACCTGCATCGTACACAATTCTCACTCTGGGCTTTCTGTTTCCAAATATGACAAAGGCACTTAAAATTCAAATGCTGTTTGAAACAAAATCAAGAGCAGAAGCAACAGCTGAGGAAAAACTTCTTGGTGTGGATGGTTGCATGGCAGCTTGTTTCTTCAGTCCCTGCCCTGGTATTTTTTTTACAATGCTAGTTTAGTTTAAAAACAAAACAAAAATCCCCCTGGAAAGGATTCCCCTGACAGACACCTATTTGTATGCATTAGACATTGAAACTGGTTGCAGTAGGAGTGTTCAATTTGCTTGCCTTTTTTTGATCTTAAAAAAAGTCAGTTTTACTTAACCAGCATTTTGGATAGGTTACTAGTTTTGTGCATTTCTGTTGCTTTACAGTTGCTGTTCAAATGTAGCTTGAACGAAATAATAAGTAAATGCGAAATATTTCCCATTTTAAAACTGTTAAAAACAAAGGTAATTGACAAATATGTATATTTGTATAAAAGTGAATAAATACATCAGTAAATTTACTCTATCAGTCTGTGATAATTAGACGAGTGACTGCTGGGGGGGAGAAAGATACGAAAACCAGGCTTACATGAGACTTTTATAATAAAAATCTCCTCCTTGCTGCATAAATTTATTGGTTTAGCCCAAGATGATCAAAATAATTTCTGTGAATAGGAATTTGAACCCCTTTTGGGTGAGCGTAAAGGCGGTGGTATAAGAAGTTACTGCTTCCTAGCTAACATTTTTTTTTATTTCAAGTAGATTAGGAAAATGAGAGTCTTCTCATAAAGGCCAAAGCTGTGATCCCTGTTGGAAATTGTATACAGGATCTTGCTTCTGATCTCCTCGTTGTATGCCAGGGCTCTCCACGAGATAACACAAAGTGTCTGGCACCTGCTGAAGGATGCCTGATCACTTGTGTATTTTGGCAGCCTCTTTCATATATGCTCAGTGTGATCTCTAAGTATAGAGCAAGAAAAATGGCATTGGATTTACTCACGGATGTTACCATTGTTGCCGTGTAGTCTTCTCACCACGTACCTGAGGCATAGAACCTCTATTTTTGAGAGAAGTTAATGAGGTCTTGGAAGACCTGCTTCCTTGAATTAAAAGACTGAACTTGCCCAGCTCAAACAAAAAGCTTCATGCTTTTTGATCCTAAGTAAGTCCAGTGCACTGGGTACACTCTAATAGAAAAGCCTGTATTTTGTTTTGGTTTGTTTTATTTAAGAAAAAAAAAAAGCAGGAGGAAAGAAAGGGAAAACTCAGAGTAAGAAGGAGGTTAAAAATACTTTCTGGTATCTTACATATATAATTAATGTATATATTTAAAAAAATAAAACATTATTTATTTAGTTGAGGAAAAATTACCCTGCAATCAGTTAGTTTTAGTCATTACTTCCTCCTAGCTTCTCTTCCTCGAGTTTAGATTGGGGGGAACTATGTCTGCAACCTAAAAACAAGAGATCTTTGCTTACTAAAGTAGTCCCAAAGTAAAATTTACTGACCTATGTAAATATTCTTAATGACTAGCTGTAAGCATGAGCCCATACTTGATGAAAGTAACATCACCGTAAACCACCATCTACCTTAATGTATTTTGACAATTATTGTCATTAATTTTTTAGAAATTCAGGAATGGGGATAATTGTCTATAAAGGGTAAATTTTGATGGGCATTTCAGTGAACTTAGTGTTATGCTGAGTTACAGCAGGTGAGGATTCAGTTCTGGGTTCTCAAATTTAGAACTGCAAGAATTGGCTCCGTTGGGATATATGAACAACTACTCACGTTCAAAGGAGCTAAAAAGACCGGGGATTTTAAAAAAGACTTTTTTTTAATAATTCATTTTTTAAAATGTAGGCATGGTAGCAGTTGTGCTGTCACTGTTGAGTGTTTGAAAAAAATGGCATTTATTCAATACCTGTCAAAATGGTACATGAATTTCAGCTACTTTTATGAAACAAAAAAGGTGACAGTCTTCTGACAAACATGTAACTTGAGTTTAGAGTTTCTATAGTTGTTACTTTCCCTTTATAGCAGACAGCATAGTTGTTTTACAATTTCTTTTCTATTTTTGCCTTCTTCCAGCAACTGATGGTTCTACAGAGAGAAGGATTAAATGAAAGTGCAGTAGATGATAACAAACCAAACATAATACTTTCGAGTCTTCATTAAGTGTTTTAGTGTTAACCAACACATCTTTATTTTTATGTTAAACTGTGATACCCTGAGCAGCACAAACGTACCACCTATGCACCCATCTGTGGAAATAAATTAAGGCATGGAGTAGTGATATAACTTTCCTAAGGCCATACACAGAGTTAAGAACTTGCCCAGCTTTCCCATGTTTTTACCTGATTATGTTGGCCATGTGATCATCTTTTCCAGCTGTTGTCACTATTTTTAAATAGGTGTTTTAGCATAGTCTATCAATCAGCTGCCTCTGCTCTGTGAATCAAAATCCTTGTCTAAGAATGTTTAGAAGTTGATCAGTCATGAACTTAGGGACATGAATTCAGGGTATGTATGTCTTTACTCTCTTCTTCCACGGGACAAAGTAATAGTTTAGAACTGGCAGCTGTTGACAAGGCAAACCTTTCACACATGCATCAGGTTTTGTGGAACACAGTTTTGTTAGATATCTCTGGTAATCCATGACAGTTTTTTCTTCATAAAATAAGTATCTAGGCCTTGCACAGCTGAATAGCCATCATCTTATAAAAACCAGAACTGAACCCAGCATTCATCACTTTGTTGTTGCTCCCTCTTTACTAATCTCCCAGTTCAGTAGTCTGTCACTGTCTTCTCTGTTGGGGGCTCCCTTTCCTTGCTGTAGATGGGTGGTTAGCCTGCTCCATCTGAAATTACACATCCTTTCTTTAGCTTAGTCTAAGACTTGTTACAGAATTTACCAACTGCACACAAGGTTACCTAAGACTCTCGCTAGTTTCTGTTCTGAGTAAGGCTAGAGTGTTATCTTCATATTTTTACACTGTACCAAAATAGAAATGTACGTGATTTTATACAACAGCCATTCCCATACTCTCCAACTACCTTGAACTTACTCTAGTGAACTCGTAACAAAGTTAATTCACAATGACTGGTTGTAGCCCAAACTTTTTATCATCGTTTAAGACACATAATATGTTTTCATACCTTTACTACCCTTTTTTGCCAAGATGCTGTACATCTTTCAGCTGTACCATGACCTTGTTATCAGCTGGCACTTTCTGATCTTTAATTGCCTCTTCAAAAGGTAAAACACTCATGTTCAGTCATGTATTACCTATGTCTTCCATAGGAGTCAATGAACTTTAAAAGGTTATGGGAATCCCTCAGACTAATTTTATGAAATCTTTTTGGTAGGTACCTAACTGTTCAATCTCTCCAGAGGGAATAAGACAACATTTTCACTGACAAAATAACTGAGTTTTCAAAGAAATGAATGACTTTTTTTTTTTTTTTTAAATGAAGAAAGTTTATTGCAGGTCTTTCTTTTACAATTCTAGTAGAAAGTATAGCTAAGAAAGAAAATGAACTATGACCAATTCGTAAGAACGAGCAAAGGAAAATCATAAGCTGAATACATACTATATTGAACTAAGCATTATGGTAAAGATAAAACCTCATCTATCTTGTGACTGCAGATTAAGGATAGCTGCTCCCCAATCCTTGTTTCCAGTGCCTGCACCAGGTGAATAGGGGGATAGCACTGACAAACCTCTTATAGCTATTGATGGCAGCTATTTATAGTAGCTCCTCTATCAGCTCACCCTAGAACTAGGAACTGCTCCATTCATCCTAGCTTAGATAACATGCAGCAGGCTTTCCGTTCACAGGTCCAAAGCAATTTTATTTTATCTAATAGGTAGTCTGACCCTGGAGAAAAGTGTGGATGGGACACTTGTGGTTAGGGTAGAAAATGGCTAGAACAAAAAGGCTTCCTTGACTCCAGTCTTCATTACAAATAAATGTCCAGTGCTCATGTTTACATCCCAAGTCACTTTATTTAAATTCATATTATCTAAACACTACCCTGCAGCCTGCAAGTCAGATAACAAACTTGATGCAAAAACAACCATCCTTCCCTCTATTGCCAATGTTTATCTCATAATATTTTACAGTTAGTCCACTAAAAATTTTTTTGTGAAAATTTGCCTCTTCACATTTAGTAGAAACTTGGCTAAAAATAGAGGCATCGGAATAGAAGGTAAATATAAGTTTTCTTCCCTTGTCTTCCTCTCCCACTTTTCTGAGAATCCTCATCAGAAGAACAGAACAGGGCCTGCTTGTAAAGGTGAGGCCAGGTAACTGTTCATCATCTCACTGCTCATATAAAAATATGGTTAGCTACACTGTACGTTAGTCTATTTAGAGCCCAAGGCTGTGTGAAATGCAGTTAAACTAACACAGATAACTTAAAAATCATCTAACATTGCCACAATCTTTCCCCTACTGCTGTTCTCAAGACAAGGGCAAAGAGCACTCAAAACACATCTTCACTCACCCACTATTAGAAGATCAGTCTCCCATGACAAAGCCTGCCTTGGGCTCGCCACGAGAGGGTGCACGCAAACTGAAAACAAACTGTCATGTGAAATGAAGAGAAATTGTGGCGAGAGTGCAGGGAGCTTCAGTTGGGTTTGGTTTCATCAGTCCTATGCACCAGGCTGATCCCCAGCAAACTCGGGACATACTGAGGCAGGGAGTGTGGGGGATCTGAGTGGCTCAGAAGCAGCAGGGAAGAGGGTCTTGGACCCAGCCACATGAGGATCATCAGCTGCAGCAGTAATTGCAGAAATTTTCTCCATTCCAGCTCTGCCAGAGTCCTGACAGCGCTTGCTGCAGAAAATCTGACTCTCTTTATCTAGAGCTGTGTTCTAAAAACAAAGAAAAAAAACCCCAAGGCAAAATATGAAAAGAGCAGTTAAATCAAAACCCTGTCTTAACTTAAGTGTTAAAACAATCTACAAGACATGAAGTGCATGCATTAGAGCCAGAAAAAAAGGAGAAATACAATTAGAAATCTTATGTATAATTAATTGTAGTGTTTTGTGGTGTTGAATTTGGAAAATGTAAGGAAAACTCATCTTCCAGACATATGTTTGCCATGATGCTGCGAGTTTAAAATTTTGTCTTGCAAGTCTGATGTGGAAAAAAAAAAAAAAAAAGACTAGTGGTTATGATACAGCAGGAACTCTTCATACTAGCTATTAGCAAAATTGATGTACCTGTGTTTTTGCAGACACAAGGAATCACGTGATGCTTAGTGAAAGCTTAATTAATACGTTTTTCTGTAACGAACCACATGGTACAGAAATGTATCTGTTTGTGAAGATAACAGATGAAAACCTAATGATTTTTTCCTATATTAAAGAAAAGGGTTTACTTTTCTGCTTATTGTTGAGAGTAGGCAAATGACCTCTTACGAAGCTGACATGGTAGCAAAAAATGTATCGCTTCTGAATACTATACTTAAAAATTAGTTTACTGGAGAAGAACGTAGCAGGTTAGAATGAAAACTGAGAACTCTGTAGTGTAGTAGGTGGATTATCTGCAGTATGTGGTGTGTCTGCTGAAGCTGACAACTTTCATACCCTCTGAAGGATACTGCAAGTTATATTAAACAACAGTGCAATGTTTAATTGCTAGTGGAATGTCTAAAGTGACCTAGAGAGAAATCTAGTAGTTCCTGTGTCAAAAATATATGTCAAAATTGCTTTCTAAGACTTGGAAGGACAGCGCAATTGGTCTTGTTTCACAGTTAGAAGGCTGATACTGATCATTATAAATCCATATTCTTCCTGGCTTAACTATTTACTTTATGGAAGACCTTCAAGTACGAGTGGTAATACAGATTAATTAAGTTCTTTGTAGTTTATTCAGTTATGTACAGTGGTGCAAGGTACACGGGTCATGTACATCTTGGGCTTTCTACAGTAATCCACAAATGTGTGACACTTGAACTGAAGAGCAGAGCACAAATCCATGTTTCACCTTTGTGGCACCACCTGCATATGTATGTGTAAGCATTATACAAGACTGTTATGTGGAATTTCATATTTTGAGCTGGGATGTGCTAATTGTAAGGTAAGGTCAGGTGCTCTGCCTTTTCTTTAGCAATTTCTTCTTTTGATTGCTCAGGAGGACTTGCTTTACTAATGTGAAAATTTCTATGTATTCTTAGTGGAGTTTGTCTAATACACTTCACTAAAATATGTGGGTTTAGATACTGAAATAATTTTCTGATACAAGTTAAATTTAGCATGTATTTTTTTTCAGATGTGGTTTATTGCACCAAAGTCATCAAAGACAGCAGAAATAAGGTACTTTTATCCTCTTTTTTCCAAACTGATCATATAGCTTGGTAGTGAAAACTTATTTCATTATGGGGTACCTGAATTCAAATTTTTCTTTTACCTGACATGGCAAAGAGAGCTGGACTAGTAGCTCCGATTTCTCAAATAGAGGACTTCTAGAATTTGTAGGTGGGTTGTTCTGGAACAAGATGGTGTTCTGTCATACAGATGGTGGGTTGTTCTGGAATCAGCCTCACTCGGACTCTTCCACTGAAACTATTTTGTTTTGTATAGTGATATGGCTGTGTGCTGGGGCAGGGGAGGGAGTAAGCAGCCTCATGATACCCCTCCTCCCCCAGTTCCCAAAAAGAAAAGTTTTAAGTATTTTGAATTTAGGGTGTTTTGGGTTTTGGTGATGTGTTTGGTTTTGGTTTTGGTTTTGGTTTTTTTTTTTAATTGAGTTACAACATTAGTCTACATGCATACAGGTACAAGGAGAAAATTCAGTAGTACACAACTGAATTCTCTGCTACTACTATCAACTCTGCAAATGGGGCATGCAGGGAAATGCCTAACTGAACTGTATCTAGGCTTTTGAGATTAGCTATGACGTGCAGGAGTTTTCTCATTATCAAAGTAGCTGCTATGCTGGCAGGATTACATTTCCTCTTGCTTGCTGGAAAAAGAGTTGTGAATAAACAGGTATCTGCTATTCCAGTGGCAGGATAAGTTATTTAAAAGGGAAAGGAAATGCTTTCAGTTCATGCTGACGGTGATTTCTCCTGTCCTGTCTTCACAGCAGCCTTTGATATTTGTCACACCTTGCACATAGCAATACATACCTATGTAATGCAATTTAGGATTTTTTTTTTTTAAAGATTGAAGAGGAGGCTTAATTTTACTGTTGCTAAGTAAGAATGTTTTTTATTAATGTAGGACTGATTGTCTTCTGACTAGCCCTGTGATACCATAAAGGCTGAAGTGATAATTAAAATTTTTATTTTAAATGGAAACAATGTTTATTTCAGTGGTTTTGGTTTTTTTGGTTCTGTCTTCATAGATTTCCATCTATTTCTAATTGCTTTTGGATACTGTAAGATACAGACATGCACAAAATTACTCCCAGGGGAATATGTCTGAGGAAGTAAAAAATAGCTAGTTATATCAGTGTTTCCTTAGGATATTTCAAATATACATCACTTAATATAGAAAACTTTTTTGTAAGTGTTTAAAAGATTTTCCTTTACTGTTTTTGTGTGGCTGTAAAGCTCGCTCTTTCCACTTCAGACTGGCTGAGTTATTTCTCCTTTCTTCTTGTTAAAAATGGAGAACATGTATTTTTTGTGCAGCAGAACAAAGCATCGCAGTTAGTACGTACCATTGCCTTGGACCTACTCAGAGGAAAGCAATGCAGGCATTGGGAAAGGAGGAAGAAGGAGGGAAGCAAGGGACAGAAACTAGACTTACTTTAAGCAGAACTAACACAATTGCAACAAATTTAGATTTACAGAACAGTTTAAAATTGACCAAAAAAAATGGTAATGAATTAATAGCAACATGCTTTTAGGGGCAGAAAGAGTCTCCTGTGCAAGAACACTGAAGTAGGTATGTGCAGTTTTACTTATCTGCCACATGATGGTATTATCTGCATTGGCCAGATGACAATATTTGAATGAAGTGATGCTAAAAGGGATTCCATTAAATATGCAGATGGACTGATATAGCAATGCACTGCAATACATGAGAATTACAATACTGTGCTTGTCTGAATCTGAATGTTTTTAAGCAATGAGTGCCAGTACAAGTGAAGAACTCAACATGAAGATAACTAAATTTCAATGCTCTAGATAAACCAGGGCAAGAATAACAAATTGGGGGCTTAACCCTCATTAGATTACAGTGTTTTGAACAAGAAATTACTTTTCCCTTCAGCAATAACTGGGAGCTGCTTTCAGAAATAATTATGCATTTACATCCTTCCATACCTGTTAGAAGAAAATAAGGCAGGAAAAGGGAAAATGAAAAGTTTTAACAAGGTGCACTTTCCTGGCTGAAGGAATGTCAGTAGCTAACAGAATCAGAAAAAAACCCCACACCAATAAGAAGCCAGAAGCTACGCTGTGTCAGAGATCTGAGACAGGCTTAAGTGGCATGCAAGTTGGAGAGGGGCTGAGAGTTAGAATTAAAATTAAGATTGCTCTTATTACATATAGTGCATTTTATACCAGTTTTCAGCTTCAGGCTTATCCATAGTCTCAACAGTATAAAGAATGAAGCTCTGAAGTCCCTCTCAAACTGTCAAGTCAAACTGTCAAATGAAATGTAGACAACAGCATGAACCTGAAATCCATTTTCTGACTTCTCTCATTTTTATTTTTATGTTACCACTTTTCCTACATTTAAATCTTTGGCCTATTTAATTCTACATAAATGTATTTGCAAAAGCATGTATGTATGCAGAAACATTATTTAAATTTACCTACTTTCAGATGATTAAAACAATTCTTTGTTAATAGAAGTGGGGTGGACTTTGAGAGTAATTAATACTAATGGGGAGGGGCGGGGGTGGAAATCACTGTTATGTTACTTTCATATTTTTCTTTTAGTAACTGAAGATACTCTTTGTGCGCAGTGTCCATCCTTGCATTAGACAAGAATGGACCACAATAAGAACAGAATAGCAGTTCAATCTCTATAGCAGTTGCATCTTCTCTGCAAATGTGACTGGTCAATTACAAGTGCAGTTCTGAGTGCTGGTAGCAGTAAACTCCATTTCTTCTACCATGATTCACACATCTGCCTTCTGGAATTACTATTTATGTAAGTTCAACTATAGGTCACAGGGTTTCTTTGTATGCTTTGGAGAAAGTTCCCCATTAGGGAACAGAAAAAACAAAGAAGGGGTTAGATTGGGACAAAATTAATGTGGTAAACATTCAATAGTATGAAGAAAGTTTCTGAAATGGAGTCTGGTTTCCCAGCAAGCATTGTGTTGAACAACAGTATGCTCAAGACCAAGTAAATACTCGGTCGGGCACAGGGGAAGAGACTACTTAATTAACTAGGTGGTCAGTATGATAAAAAATTACAGTTTTTATAATGAAAGATTTCAAATCGTTAATAAGCTTCATTTCAACATCAAACTACTTAGTGTTTACATGTTTCTGTTTGAAAGCTTGTTTTTATAGCTTAGCTAGCACACTGTGATAGACTTGGTTGCTCTCAAGCGATGATAAGACACTCCACACTATACATAAATAAAGACTAGAATTAGAGACTATTCTAGCTTTGCTTTTGCTATTCTTGCACCACACATGCCCATAGAGCACTGTTAGGAAAATATGCAAAGTATGATATCAATGTATAAAAATGTTCATTTTTCTTACCATGATGACAGAAACCCCAGCAGATGTGTTATTTTGCTTAGGTAGGGTGTTATTAAAGTGCTGCTTCAGTTTACCTGTTACTTCAGCTTGCATATTATTCTCCTGGGAAGCATCATCCTGTATAAGAATAACACAATATTCAAGTTAGGAAAAAAACAAAAGTATGTTTGAATGTAACTGAGTAAACCAGATTTTTTTCTATTATCCTCAGATACTTCCTGCTTTTTAATGTGAAGTAAGCGTTCAGACAGGCAGCCCAAAAGTGAATGCACTCTGCTACATAAGATGCAGTTCAAATGGGTTAAGACAAATTACAGAGGAAAGGAACGTAGCAACCACTGTTTTATGTATGAACTTCTATTTCTTAAAATGCCATGTGGCACTGTATACTTTCAGTCCATTGATTTGTCCCACAGTTATAAGCTGCAAGTTTGATTCAAGCATGTTAAAAATAAAAAGCATATCTGTCATTTGGCTTTCTTTTAAATCAGCATTTTAAATGGTTCATCACATCCTAAGTGTGGCAACATTATACAGTACCATAAATACATTTGAGAGGAGCTGTTATGCATAGAAACACTCGTTATAGCTGTCTTCTCTTGTTTGAGGGAAATCCACAGATCATATTCAGTCCCTCTTTTAAAATGTGTGTGGAAATAAACATTGACTATGTACATGTAAATCTAGTATTTATTAATAATGAACTGATTTTAAATCAATAAGAAATGCACTTTGGTGTTCCCCACTGCTGCTGCCCAAAAAGATGAAGGACCTGGCAGCCATCAGCTTAGTGCCTATGTTAAATTAGATATTTTATTTGCTAATTTTATTTGTCTTAGGAAGCTTGAAGTGCTTCAAGAAACATGACATCATACTTTAAGTAGCATTGCAGCAAGTAAGATGCCAACATGCACAACAGTGCTTCCACATACACATTTTTGAGATGACTGTTTTCTAGGTTGGAAGTGAAATAACAAAAAAGATGACCAAGTCACACATCTGCCTGTTGTGTTATGTTTAAGCAGGGTTGTAGCAACCCCCAGCACCTTCTAATTGCAGTCAGCAAGTGATACCCTCACTATTCTTTCAGAGCACAGAAGCTAACAGTGCTGTTAGAGCTGAAGCTACCTTCAGACTCTTGCTGTTCTCTTTTATGTGGAAATGGGACTAGTGGTTCAATAAACATAAATAGGCATAGTAGAAGTGTATTGCTGCTTCTGAAAACTACAGTTTAGTGGTTAGATTTACAGATTTAAGATTGAATTAGAGACAAGTAAAATGTAATTTACTCACTGACACCCAGGGATGGCTTAGGATCTGTGCTGCTGTATATCGGGCTTCTGCATTCACATGTAACATCAGGCTAATTAACTCCTTTATTAAAAAAAAAAAGGGGGAAAAAAAAAAGAAGAGTTTAAGGAGGGTGGGGAAGGATATTACAATGGAAAACACTGTTGCACCAAGTTCTTCTCAGTGGAATTTTCTTGCTACCTGGGTGAAAGAAAAAACAGCTTACACTGATGCCAGAACCAGTGTCTTTAGCGGAATAAAAACTTTGCCCTTTAGGTTTAAGAGTATGTTGGACAGCATATTTCATATCAACTTCCTTACTGTATTCATGTTTCACTGAGTCTTTTGAAACCAGATGAAAAGGAAATGTTAAAAAAAAAATCAGCTATAATGTTCCAGTTTGTTCTCTATATATTCATGCAGGTGACCAAAATGAAAACAAACCTGGGACAGATGAGATCCACTATGGGCAAAGTACATGCACATAGTAACAGTACATAAAGAGCACAAATCAGAGGCAAGAAACTGCTGAAATTGTTTGAAAACTATGTTCTGTTCTGTGTTGCTCCAGAAGAATAAAAGACATTTAACTCATTTCATCAGCTAAGGATCACCTGGTATAGGAAAAAGCAGGTGAATAGATAGAGAAAAATGCTTAATTCTACTAATTATACGTTTAATCTCAAAAGATTTGGTATTGTGGCTTTCATCGTATTTTAGAGGCACTGGAGCAGATGTCTTTAGCTTTATCAAACACTTCCGTGGGCCTTCCATTAACGGTGCCTACAGATATGACAAACCTGAAGAGGTCATTGATACAAAGCAGTCAGTAAAATAATTAAAACAACAAAAAAACCAAACCAAAAACCCAAACCAACTTTCATCAGTTGTTTATTCATTCAAGTTTTTTCTTATGCAACTAACAACTAGTTTACTGGTGTAATTCCTGGTTCTACGAGCCTATTAAGACAAATATGTCCCCCTCCCAAATGAACAACTTCATGTACTTGGAGCCAAATCCTTCCTCGAAAAACTTTCATAGCCTCCAAATTGTCAGTCTTCATATTCTTATGAAGAGTATTTCAAGAAGATTGTTCATCACTTCAGTTTTGGGAAATGGCTTCTTCAGGCAGATAGTAACATACCTAAGTGAGAGGTTTCCCAACCAGCCAAGTTATTTAGTCTGTGTAAGTCTGAAGTGAAAAGTCACCTTTAGTACCAAGATCAACGGCCTTGTTTGTTCAGAATGCATGTCTGGAAGAGCATGAGATGATTGGGGCTTGGGAAATGTTGGCAAATGGATAAACAGCCATTGGGAAATGCAGAAAAAAATGCAACTTCTCATTGGCTGGATAACAAATAATCTATCTCCACTTGCTAATTAGAGTCCTCAGATATCATTCAGAGTACGTTACTGAATTAGCTTGAGAAGTGGCGCTTAAAAGGTGGAACCTTTATCCTGCAGACAATCATTTTAAACACAAATGGCAATGATAACATAAGAACTATTAGCAATGGCAAATCAAGCTGGCTGCATCTTTTGAAAAGAAGTTCTAATAACTGGCTCAAGTAAAATAGGAACAAATTATGTCAATTGCATTCAGTCCACAAAACAATAATTTTTCTTTTTTAGAAGAGATAGGAGGGAAAAATTCAGAGACACTTATTTTACAGCTGAAGCACTGAACCTGCTATAATAGTCCATCATTAAGTAAACTGAATAGCATGTGATGTTCACTGAATGCAATTGGCATTCTGCCACACTTACTTACTCAGACAATAACATGATGGCTGGCCTGCAAAACCTGAGCTTTCATCAAGCACTGTTAAGCCAGCTAACTAAAAAGGCACAGCAGCTAGAAGTGGGTAAGAGCCTGTTCTGAATGTTCTATTCTGCCTTTCCAACAGAGCACAGTCTTTTCAGTGGCTTGTCAGAAACACTGTTTCAGGTTGGAAAACATATCAGTACCTTTGCTGAATCAGTGATGTTATCCCAGTAGGGAGAAGGAAATTCCAGCTTCCCAACAAGTATCTGATCAAAGAGGTCTTCCTGAAGGTTGTTTTCACTGTAGAACAGCAGTAATGAAAAAGATAATGAGAAAGAAGTCAATTTGTCATGTGAATTTTTAACTTGATTTGGGGATGGAACAGAAATTATGTTATATCAACTACTATAAATGCATAATTTGCAAGTTCATACAGTGGCAGCACTTCTGAGGTGTTTGCCATAGTTACGCTGTCAGGAGTGATGAGAACAGAAAAACTAATATATTGAGGTGAAAGGAATTCCACTGGAAAAGGGACTGCATATCTAACATACAGGAACAGGAAAGGTAGTTAAAAAATAAGTCACTTGCAGCCTAGTTCTAAAGGACTTGCTACAGAAAGCATATGATAGGAGGAAGAAGTGTAGAGAAATGAGCCTTTTCTGTTAAACTATCATCACAACAGGAGAATTTTCAAAATCCAAAGAGGAAATATGGAAAACACGATACATTTAGTTTACTGAATATTGTATTCAATATCAGGCTACTGATATTGAAAGAATAACTACTTTTGTATCAAACCCATGGTATCGTGAATATTCAGGGACCAACGGCAGTGGGTTTTTTGGTTTTTAACTTCTCTTAGTTACCCCTAGCCACTTTGAACATCCACCCAACCTATTTCTGTAATGAACAATTTACCTCTTGGCTTGGTTTTGCAATAAGTATTTATTAACCTTGGTTAAGACCTGATTCTAATAGCATGGTATGGATATTCTCCATGCCCAGCCCCCAAACTCTATTTGAAGCAATTGCTATTTTTTTGTAGAATATATCTTTCAAAACATGTTTTCAGTTTTAAACATGAACTAACCACGTGCAAAAAACAAATACCTAAACTAAATGATAATTTTTTCCATTGACAATTGTTTATATTGTATTCTTTGCAAAATATTCAGTCTGGTGATTTTTAGTTACAAACTAAGTATTTTGCTGTAAAAATGGACAAACAGACTGTGCACAAATAACTTATAAGTTAAGAGGAGAATTCCCTATTAAAATGTGCCAATTCCCTCTCATTCCCTGGCAAAAAAATTGCTGAGGCACAAAGAATATCCATTCGATTTTTAGTAGAACTCACACATACTGTGACACTGAGTAGCAAGAATCATGTTTGCAAACTCCATCGCTCATATGACACTTATCAAAAAGATTAACAAGGCTAAAAATGCAACATAAGCAAATTCTTCCCTTCACCTCAGTTTTGCCATTAACCTTCACCCTCAACACTACAAACCAGTAAGCTGCTGTGTCCAAACAGAAACACTAGAGGGCAAAGTATACACGTTCATTGAACTGCTATACACATTGCAGACAAAAGGAAAAGAAACTATGCCCTCACACCACCATATCCCTCCACACAGCAGTAAACCAGTCGCTCCCTTAGAAAAATAAGTAAAATTGATCCCAAAACCGACAAGAGGAACATGTGAAAACAATTTTAAAAAAGAACAAAAGGGTAAAGAAAATGTGTCAATCTATCTGATCAATTTTTTTTCCCCAAGATGCCTTCTTCAGGGAGATAGGTAAGACTCGCTTAGAAAGAACTTGGTTCTTTACTATTTTTCCCTTTGACATACAGGAATACTCACCTGCGAAATGGTGGAAATCCACATAACAGTATGTATGTGATCACACCTGCAGCCCAGATATCCACCTTTAAGCCATATCTGAGAAAACAAGACTGTGTTATTTGTGCTGGATTAAAAAAAAGTCATTCCAATCAAATGATTACATTTACATGAATATATATTGTTACATGTATATATATTGAATATATATATATATATGTTCTAAGTTACTTGCTGATGATGTGGAAATGTATTTTATACCTAAGCATCATTTTACTTAGCATCCTTCACAGTCTTTTGGAAACCATGATAACATCATTTTTCATTGATTCCCCCCCCCACCCCTGCATAAGCCTCAAGGCTCTCCAGGGTCTTCTGAATATACCCAGATTCAATTCAGCATCAAGGTTTCCCAATCCAGAATCACTAATGATAAAAGACAAGGATGTGCTTTCTCAGTTCTCATATTGGAGTAACTATCTCTAAGGTTATCATATGTTGCTAAGCAACAAGAAAGATACCAATTCTCCAGTCTCTTGAGTGAGTAACAGAGGGAAAAAGAACTGCACTTTTCTTTTAAAGCACAGAAATTAAAACACTAGAGGTCAAAAAGAGGCCTTTCCTATTCTTTTCTATCCAGTAGATTCAGTCTGTCAAGACCTAAAACATGCAGATGAAGTGCTCTTTGATGTTTGAGCTCACTGCAGCTGTGAAATATTTGTCCATATGACAAATGCACTGAACAATGCTTGAAACAATACAACAAACCTCCCTCCATCATGAAGACCAAATTTGGAATGGTCACAGCTATGTCAAGAGTCAGCTAGCATGGAATGGATGTCTAATAGGTCTAAAAAGGAAAGACGACTTGTGAAATTCTACCATTTTACCAAATTATTTTGTATTTATACAACCCTGTGTTAAATTCAGGAAAACGGGGTTGTTTAATTAAACCAACAGTTATCAAATAGCAGGTGTCACCCAAACAGGATCACTTGAATCAACGTGATCTGATTAGACCTGCTCTGAGAACAGGTTTAGACTAGGTGACCTCTAGAGTCTCTTCCAATATAAATTATTCCGTTTCTAACAAACATGACCACTGTGTTTTGCTTGTCTGTTCTGCCCCAGGCAGCTGCCACAGCTGGTATAATGGGCTCTGAATCGTGAGGTGAGGCAGGGAACACAAACCAAGAAACTCTACTGTGCCAGCGCTGATCCTAGGGAGATGGTAACGAGACAAAGGTGAATTCTGGGAGCAGGGTGAGCAAGGAAGCTGGCCTCTTCAAGGAACTGAATGATGTCTGTTTTCTCATAGATGGCTTGGTTACAAAAATATGGAGGACCATCCTATTAGAGCATTATAGTTCTTACAACAGTTAGGAGCTACCTGCCAAAAATAACTGGTTACAAGACCTATGTCTTAGTCATCCTCACCCTGTCTCTGCAATGATTTCTGGAGCCACATATGTGGGTGTACCACAGACGGTATATAAAGGTCCTTCAACCACAGTTGCCAGTCCAAAGTCTCCTAACTTCAAAGACTTGGTTCCATCTGGATATTCACATACCTAGAATCGCAAAATAAAAACAGAATGAGGAGGAGAAGATCTGCATTTTTTAGATGCTTTAATTTGTTTGGAAAATAATAATCATCGCACCAAGGAGATGGGAAAAAGAGGTAACTTCCACAGCCCTGTAGGGAAAGAAGAGAAAAATGGTATGACCATTGGTTGCCACAGTGTGGCTGGAGCTAGTGTTCAACCGAGCTGTCTGGTAGCTATGTAGGTCAGACCATGATATACCCTCAAGCAGCTAAAGGGGGAAAAGAAAACCCAATCCTAGAATGCTGAGAAGTTTTAAATATATTAAGAAAAATATAATACTATGCTTCCATTTGATGAGTTTAAAATGGGATTGGCAGCTACAGATTTGTTTAACATCTCTCACTAACTTAGCATAAATTTAGTCAGTTAGCGTATTGGATATTTCATAGGCAAATGTCTTCCCTAAGCTTAGTCTAGGCAAGTTCAGTACAAGAGTGAGAAATCTGACTGAGAAATGTTTAGGTTTCTGTGCAGATCCAAGTGGATCTTACCAAAAGCCCCATAAAGAATCTAGCACATCTTGTTCTGAGTCATTTTGTTGATGAAAGAAGCTAAATTTTTAACAGAAACAAAAGTGTTATATGACAGTGATAGCAAGAGTAAATCAAACCAGACCAACACCAAAGGAAACATCCCTAATAAATTAATCTGTTTTGTTCTTAAAGTAAAATGTTTATGTCAACATGATTTCAATGGGATCTAGTTTCTATAATGTAGGACTCCAGAATCTCCAGAATGGCTGAATTTATTTGGTTTCCTCAAACAACTGAATACTGCCAAGGCAGCAATACCTTCCTTCATTCCCATGTGTAATTCATATCATTAATGGAAACACTTGTTCTCCTTGATATAACACCTTCATATCTGCTATTACTCTTAGTGTTTTTATGTTTAAAGGCATGGCTAGTGAAGACAATGTAATTCAGACAGCTGGATGACCCTATGCAAAAGAACTAACTACTTGCAATTATAGGTAGCAACTGACAGGAATTACTTGCATTCAATACCAGTACGTTATCTTAACATTCTGCCACTGTCAATCACAGTGAATAAGATTTGCATTTCTTTAGGCTTTCTAGGCAGAAAGGACATTTGTGCCTATTTATAATTGATTCAATCACTAACGAGAGCTTAAAATTTCTTTGGACTGTGTTTGAAGATGCACCTACTAGTAGTAAGACTTCCACCTTCACTTTCTTTCTCTTAAGTGCCATGTTGATGTGACCACATTTTCCAGGAGAAGCCCCCCGCCCTGCTTCCTTTTGCTAAACAATCTGATTTATTTGAGGGCTTATTTAAATTGCTGAACACAGTCAGTAGAATTTAGTTGGGAAAGAATTGACTATTAATTGGAAAATATTTTCAGCTTATAGCCCTATCCTTGTAATAGTTCAAAATCCAGCCTGGGATAAGCCATGACTCCTACTCTAGATGCAAGCTCATTAAACAGGATTGAGAAATGCCTACCAAGTGTGGATGAAAGCTACTGGCATTCCTGACTACAGTAGCTCAGGCAGGGGACATTATGGCCCTGTTTGTTCAGTGCACAACACGTAATATCTAATACCCAATATGTAATATGTAAGTATAACCTCTGTGTATAAGCAAGATAGCACGCTGTTCCCATTCTGTGAACTGTAGTCTAAGCAGTTCCCAAAGCAGACTTCATGGTAATTCTTGTCAACACAGTTATTTTATGTCTCTGCTGAAAACAAAAGTAGTCAGTCCCCTAGGACAAAATAAATGTATGTACAGAGTTAATTCATGGCTAGAATAGTGGTAAATCACCAGAAAGATGCTCCTACTATGACAGTGAAAGAAAAAGAAAAAAAAATTGCTTGATAACCATATGATCATTCAAAGAAATGGCACTCAGCCCACCTTTTCTCCCACTTGCAAACTATAATAAATAATTCATTGACATAGCTTTAAAATTCGTTGTTTTGTGAGACAATACTCCTGCTTATCCAAATGGCAGCCAATCAAAATGTAAATAAAGATAGGTCTAAGGACAGGTTTGAGCACAGCTCACTTGGGTTATTCTGATTGCTATCTCATGGCAGAAGATTTATTTCATACATACTTACTCTAAATTAATATTCCTGCTGTTCTCTGCTCAGCTCCTTGACATTTATATACAAGCAGTTGCATTAATGAGAACAAAGTAAGAGAAAATATTAGAAAATAAATGGAACATACCAGGAGATTTTCTGGCTTGATGTCTCTGTGCACAATGTTGAGACCATGAAGGTATTTCAGTGCACTGGCTAGATTGTAAACCATTGCACTCCCATCTCGCTCTGTGTATTTTGTAGAAGAAGTGATAGCATCAAATAGATCTCCTCCCTAAAGTAATGGAAAGATAATAGATCACTACATGAAAAATAATTAAGATTACTGTATTTCATAAAAAAGCCGTGTAAAATCTTCCTGTACAAAAGGCATGCTCAAATGCTTGTTAAACAGTAAAAAAATTATTTTGCTGAAAGATGATCTTGTCACGAAGACACCAGACTGGGACTTGGGTCATCTGCATTAAATTCTCAACTGTACTCCAGGCTTCTGGTGTTTGAGTTTGGGCAAATACAGCTCTTCTCTGCCTTGATTTCATTCTGTTGATCTTCCTACCTTTGATCACTCATTTATATTACCTACAGGTACAGGCATACAGTTTCCCTTTTCTTCATCTATTCAATATAATACCTTTGCATAGCAAAAACCAGCCCTGATTTTGAGAAAAGCCTAAAGTAATGTAAATTAACCTAATAATAAAAAGCTTAATGTAAAAAATATTCAGCAATTGTAATGAACTGCAAATTGGAATTTCTGTAGATATTGCAGAAATATCAAATAAATATAGCTGAAGAGGACAAACAGCATAAGCATGATCTTTTCCAACCTAAATGACTTTATGATTCTATGACACACCTAGAGTGCAGAACCTACAGGTGATTTCTGAATGTGCCAGTTGTGCAGTCTGATTATAGACGCCCTATTCCTCTTCGAATACATAACAATATGTAAGTGTGTTACTGATGCAGCATTTCCAGTTATTGACACAAATTTTATGCGGGTGTCTCTATGATGGTTACCCTGGATACATCTGTAGGAGTGATCTGTCTGAGCTGTGGGTGGCATTCCAAGCATTTCAATACACATGGAAGAGAGGCAGCAATTCAGGAAATACAGGCCAAGATGGTGGTGTATTAAAATATAAAAAAAATAGTGTCTTAAAACCAAAAAAGCTTCTACTATATAAAAATAACTTCTAGCAAGGAAGAGACATGGATAGGCTACAGAAATTATGAATTCAACAACTACAGACTTTCTTCAGAGTTTCCCAGTCTGGCAACCATTCTAGAAGGGACTCTTGAATCTAGCAATGTTTCAGACAGAAATAAAAAGTCATGATGATGATATATATTATTTGTATCTGACATGCCAATCAAGCTCATGTACAGTGTTGCTGAGTATGTACAGAACACAGACAAGAGAGTGCATGACTAAAACTTGGTGCAACTTGTGGTTTTGGCTCACAAGGTGACAGCAAAATGAAGATTTTTGTTTTCTCTGTACATGTATGAAAGCAGCATCTATTTTCTGGTGACTGGAAATAAGAAGGGTGAATGTTTGATATAAGCAAAACAGGTGAGATTTTTTGAGTTTTAATTTTGCTGGACCATAAACACTTGAGTTTAAACTATTTGTTATATCTATTGTCTACTAAGATAAATTAATTAAAAAGAATTTGTTTCTTTAAAGCAAGTTATTAAATAAAGATATTAGTGAAATAAATGCAGGTGTTCTGTCAGTAAATGCATATTGCTATTACCCCCACATATTGTAAACATGATATAAAAACCATTATCCACTTCTCTCTAGACTGCACATATTGCAAAATTACCTCAGATCTGTGTAAGTAGTCTAATTACAACTGAAGAGATGTAAATTCCATTAATATAACTGAGGGACAAGAGTATTTGCATGATTAAAAATGCAGGTTGCCACTGAAATCTTATCTCAGTTATCACTGATTATGTCTCCCAAGATTTTAAAGCTCCTAGATACTTCTCAATTTCACACCATTACAGAGAATTAAAAAAAAAAAAGTCTCCTTAGTCTTACCTTGACCAGTTCCATCACCAGGTAGAGTTCTGTTGGGGTGTCCATTTCCTCTATAAGCATAATGATATTTGGATGCTTCACTCGACGCAGAATAGACACTTCGTTTTCAATCAGGTGTTCCTGTACAGAAAAGAGGACCGAAGTTTATCTGAACAGACATGAAATTGCCAATTCATTTTTCCTTTGATCAGCTGACCACTGATCATTTGATCAGTGATCACCCTTTTTGCTGTTTAATTTATATAGTAGAGGGTTGTTGTCAGATGCTGGTTTTTAACTTGCATTTTAGCCCAACTGTACTTCATCATTGACCATGTTTAATTTAAAATACCATATTTCACACACATAACCAATGAAATACCTCTGAAAAAAGACCCCAGAACATTACAGCAAATCAGGAAGTGCAGATTATATTCTTATGTGGGTATTATGAGGTAAAATTAAGTTCAGAACCCCACCGCCCCCAAGCTGGATCTTTGTAACCTGCCACCCCCAATCAATAGTTATCATGTTCTTGATCCTCTCCAGCCTTCACCTCTCATTTAGTGTAGGTTACTCAAGGACAGATTACCTAGGATTTATGTTCAAGGACTTTATTTTTTAAAAAAGTTGTGGATTATATAGATTAAAAATATTATAACTGCTTTGGTTATGGATTTCAGTTCATTTTATATGGATGTTCACATTTACAATCTGCAAAATATGTAATAGCTCAGCTAAGTTGTTGTAGCTCCAACAGTTTAACAGCACACAGATTGAATTTAATTTCCCCTTCCCCATACTTCTGAGGAAGTAATGAGTCTCAGGAACAAATTAGTTCCAGAATGTTTTGTTTTCTAGAACATCTTAGCATTTGGTTAACACTGGAGAGTGAAGAAAATTACATGCCCCTTTCATGTGAAGAATGATTTGCATTTTCCGTTATAAATATTGGAATACAGATATTGTATTTAGCTTCACTGCAAAATAAGTAACAATGCTTGCATAAAATACTAGTTTCCTTACACTTTGGCAGATAACAAATCTTGTCACTGGACTTGGAACTTATTCATGTTTAATGCACTGATTAGTAGCATGCACTTCATGCATCTGTGAGCAAGAGCACTAGAAGTAGCTGTGATCCGCTGTGCATAGGCAGTTTTGCCAAAGCTTTATGTGTGTGGCTATGTAACTCAGAAACCACATGCCATTTGTGCATCTCATTTTGTGAGAATATGGTGCGGCATATACGGGTTAAACAGTCACACCTTTGAAATTCAGTTTGAAAGAGCATCAATTGTCATTCTGAACAAACATATGTCTGCTCCAAGCAAAGTGCTCTGGAGAAAAAAAACAAACAAACACAAAGCAATTCTGTTAAACACAATGCTGAATCTCATCAACAGACAAAAGTGAACAGCCACAGCATACTAAGACTTATGGATGGAAGCCTGTAAATTCAAAACTATCATTAAGAGTCCAAGCAAAAACTAGAATCTTATTATAGCTTTTTCCACCTAAAGGACAGATAACATATTAAATTTATTATATCCATTAATTACAACTAAGGCACAATAGCTTTACCTGTGCTTTCTTTATTTCACTTGACTAAATTGTTAATTGATTTAAATAAAGCTCAGGTATAAGTAATGTTTATTTAAAATAAACAGTAATAATATTTTTTAAAAAGGCTCCAACATGTTGTTGAGCTACTGTTTTAATACCTGTCCTCAAAATGCTGACTAATATATATAGTTAGTTATTTTCAACCACCCCACTGTTTTTGCTATATTTTGTCATGTAAAAAAATAGTCATTCTCAAACTTGTTGTAATGTTCCCCTAGATAGTGAAATATAGATTTCAGTCTACATTAATATGATCTATTTACAGAGAAATTATTGTATAACTAACATTTAAGCTGCTTGTGGAAGATACACTAATCAAATGGATTCAAGTTTTAGGACATCCAAGATAAACGGCTAAAGAGCAGTGAGCAACATGGAAGTCATGCATATGGCTTGATGGGCCAGATGGGTGATTTTAAGGCAGGGCTTAAAAACATGTGAAACGGAGTAAGGAAGGAGCAAGCTGTAGTAAAATTTAATTATTTTCTTTGTTGGAATTCTTCCTGGACAGTTCTGCCACTGCCCTAACAGGTATAAACATCTTCATAACAACAGTCCTCTGCTTGTACATACACATGCATCTGTATGTAGCTATACAGACACAGGTCCTTTCAAAACCGACAAGTATGCATCCACGGGGTTGATTTTTTTTATTATTTGTTTTAAAGCAGTGAGAACGATAAATAGAAAATATGTTTAAACTCTGCTGTATAAAATGGATTGTCTCTCTCTAGACCATTCTAATTTATGATACCTAAGCAGCTGACTTAGACAAGTAATAAAACACATCTAAAGTTGCAAGCTGTCCACATCACCCAAAAGTTTCCTTTTGCAGTGAAACACACTGGGTCACCCTTTCCACAGCCAAAGAAATGGCAACATTTTCATCTCAAAAAGGTAATTCTAGCACTTTTTCTTGTGATTATACATTTTTAAGATTCCTTTCTAAATTTTCCCTTAAATAACATACATCTCCTAGCACCTAATACACAGTTTAAACTCTACATAGATAAAACATTTCTGTTTGAGGACCTCTACTTAAAGCAAGTCATCACAGCAGGTAATGCATTAGTGTACAGTAATATATAGCTCCTTACCATACAAAGAATGTAGGAAAATGTAACAAATCTGTATGGCAAGGTCACATTCAGCATTTGGAGCTCTGAATTACACTTCAGAGCAGTTACTTATTGTAATTGACAAAAAGGGTACCTTTGAATTAAAACCCTGACTTGGTTGCAAAGTCACCTCCAGAATCATTTCAGTGCAATCATTTACATAAAAAAATAAGGTGTTTGCATCAAAAAGTCCATCTTTTTGGTCATCCTTGAGAGAATGGCATATTTCCTACTCTCAAAGAGACTTTAATCTAGAATTTGATTGCTAATTAATACTGTGCCCTCAGTGTTCTTTTAGCTAACACTAAACAATAATCCATTTGATTCATAAGTTCCTCAAGAGCTCTTTGTTTTTAAGGTATTGCAAGCAGTGAAAATAGAGGTATTTAATTTGTTGTTATCTGTTCCAACACTTAGTTTACATTCTTGGCTGTAGGTTGGAGGATTTGCCTTCCTTTTTTAAAATCTCTGTACTTGGGAGGAAGGTGAAGAAGAGGTCTGACACTTTCAGATACTTGCTTTGATTATGTAATGTAACATGAGCATCCAGCTGTTCTGCTAGAGAGACAATTTTGGACTTTTTTTTTTTAGCTTGAATTAAAAAGAAAGTTTCAGGAACCCTTTTGTTAAGAGTCTTTGTTATACAGGATGGTGAAACTACATAAACACAAAGAAACGGTTGAGAAAATTTTTTTCAAATCCATGTTCTGCATATAAAAGGAGCATGTACAGCCATGAAAAGATAAAAATAAGAGGCAGAGAGGGATGGGAATTATATAAATACACATATAGCTGCAAATTCCCTCTCATATTTTACAGATCAAAATCTTTCTAATATATTTTGGACACATATCTGCATTTTCGTTGTTAGTCTAATAAAACAGAAGACAGTTTGTTTTTTACTCTATTATCTAGTAGACTAACACTCACTACTTTTATTATTTGCTTCTTGCATACATTATCATCCTGTTAAACAGATATTCTGAAAATAGTCAGAAAACCCAAACACACCCACCATTTATGACTAATGAGCAGCTGCTAGTGCTGTTTCTGCTATTTTTCTTATACATGCAAATTGTTGTACACTACCTTTCCACAGCATTTAGCCTTGTCTATGATCTTCAGTGCAAACTCCTTTCCTGTGGATCTAACAAGAAAAATATGAGAACCATTAATTAGAAACTGGTCAACAAATTGTGGCATCATCTGTAAGAATACACATCATCATAATAGAAAGCCTTAACCCATGGAGGTTGCTGGCAGAAAATTCACGGAACCGACTTGATTTTGTTTTTTGTTTTCTCAGCAGCATTTGTACCTTCTGTTTCCCTGACTACCACAACCTAGCTCACTTTGTGTATTAATCCCAGGCTCCAGCTGCAGTTCATTCTTCTGTGACCTGGCACAATTCTCTGTCACTTCTCTAATGTAACATGCAAAATTTGTCTTGAGCCTTCCGCTTAGTTTTGTTCAACTGGTAGGCTTTAAAGATAAAATCATACACATTTATGTGTAAGTGAGCAGAAGAAAGAATGATACCCTAGTGGAAAAATTCAGTAGGATTCAGCAGCTAAAAACCTATAGTTAATTACGGACTAGTCTAAAATCCCACAGAATTTATTAGGCACTAATTTTAACCTTTTGTATTTCATTCATTCTTTACTTTTTTTTAGTATTCTATAGAATTCTATAGCAGTCATCTAAAGTCCCATGACTTTTAAGAGGGTGGTTATATACAAAGTAAAAAGGATTACTGTTTTCAGTAAATACTCTCACAGAAAGGAGCTCTTATTTGCATTTTGTCTCCAAGAAGGGGAGAAAATGAGAGAAAAAAGCAACACAAATGAATTATCTTTTTTTTTATCAAAGAAGACATTACTACTTATATTAATGATTAATTAAAAATCACAAGAAAATGGCATAAGACCCTGTTGCTACTATTTTGTGTTGTGTCAGTACCTACAGACTCCATTTGCATCAGAAGACCACTGGCATGTATGGTAAAAAACACTGGAGGCAGTTAAAAAAGCAAAAGTCAGGAATGTTTTTAAACTTCCAGGTTAATTTTCACTATACTTTTGGCATTAGATATAACTAGTCAAAATTAGTACCCTACAAAAAAAGGAACTGAATTAATGATGTCTCGCATTCCATTTATCCATTAGTGAAAAAATGCAGTAGAGAATCTCTGCTCTGAAAGTGCAGCTGTATCCGCGAGGTTGTCATAGTTACAACCTGATCTGGTCTTTAGATAGAAGTGTTATCTAAACGGTATCTGTGAAATGCCATTTCTTATTCTCTTATATTATAGACCGGATGCAAAATCTACTACGAATACAGTGTGTACACTGATTCAGAATCACAATTTATGAGTTATACTAAGTTAAGTGCATTGTCTGAAAGCCTGCAACAACTGATCTGCAAAACCCACTTGGTAAACCTTTCGTACTTATGCTATGTAGAAAGAGGAGTTAACATTCACAAAGCCAATTCATCAACCAACTTCAAATCCCTCTTGCAAATGTCCCTTACTACAGCACCCTAGAAAAAACCCTGGATATCATCCACATAATTTGTGTGCTACTACCACTGCCTATCATACATGAGTATTGTCTGACAGGTTTCTGGTACTCTTCTGTCTAGCTGTCAGTGTCCATCTGTTGACTCATGTCTTCATATAAAGACATATAGGCACCCTTTACCCAAAGAGACCATCTTATTCTTTTTGTAGAACAGCTGGTATAATAGGATCCTGGCTCCGCAACTAAGGCTTCTAAGCACAACATGATTAGAAATGAAGTATAATAATTAATAGGAATTAAAAGACAAGCATTTATAGTCGGCATCTCCTCTCTCATTGTTATTATTAGCAACTATTGTTGTATATTTATTTTATATAAAATTCATTTAATAATACTTCACTAAACATAAAGATTGGATCACATACAAAACTAGATTTTTAAGTTTAATTTTGCTTTTTTTTTTTTTTAAATAATTGGAAGGTTGTTTTTCTAGTCCAGTTCCCTCATTCCAAAAAGCACAGATGACATTCTGAAACCCAAGTGACTTAGCAGCCGTTGTCCCATATTCAGCAGAACTTAAGTGATTTCCAAAATGCACGGTCGATACTCCTGAAAATAATAAATTATGTTATCTTATGCTTTCAACCTGTTATTTTTCATGAATGTTGTTCACTCTATAGATAACAAAGGATCTGTGGCCAGTTTCAGGACGCATGGCAAAACACTGAAGCACCATTCATTTGGTGCCTGTGCCAAAACCTTGGGTTTTTAAACCAGGGAAGAGCCTTTGAGAGACAAGGTATGCTGAGGCCTGACGGGATCCATCTGTCCTGATGGGGAAAACGCATCTCTGGGCAAAAGCTGGTGGGGCTGATCAAGAGAGCTTTAAACTAGAATTGATGGGGGAAGGAGATACCAACAGGATTGCAGTAGGTAAGCTAAGGGTTGGCATGGCATTGCCTGAGGATGGCAATGCTAGTGGGAACATTTACACTGCTCCTGGGAGCACGGAGAGCTCAGGAGCGTATCTGAAATGCTTGTACGCCAATGTACACAGTACGAGAAACAAACAGGAAGTGTTGGTCAGCTCTCAGAGCTACAATGTCATTGGTATTAGTAAGACTTGGTGGAATGAGTCCCACAGCTGGGTGCTGGGATGGAGGGCTACAGGCTGTCCAGGAGGGATAGGCAGGGCAGGTGAGGTGGAGGTGTTGTACTGTATGTAAGGGAGAGGTTTGATTGTACAGCCCTTGCAGTTAGTGATGATGTAGTTGACAGCCTCTGGGTGAGGATTAGGGGGACATGTCAAAAAGGTGATTATCCTGCTGTATTCAGCATTGGTGCAGCCTCACCTTGAGTACTGCGTGCAGTTCTGGGCCCCACCATTTAAGAAGGATGTGAAGGTGCTTGAATGCTTCCAGAGGAAGGCAACAAAGCTGGAAGGCATGTCCTGTGAGGAGCGACTAAGGACTCTGGGCTTGTCTAGTTTGGAGAAAAGGAGGCTGACAGGTGACCTTATTGCTCTCTACAGCTTCCTGAGGAGGGGAAGTGGAGAGGGAGCTGCTGATCTCTTCTCCCTGGGATCCAGTGACAGGACACGTGGGAATGGTTCAAAGCTGCATCAGGGGAGGTTTAGACTGGACATTAGGAAACATTTCTTTACTGAGAGGGTGGTCAAACACTGGAACAGGCTTCCTAAAGAGGGGGTCAATGCCCCAAGCCTGTCAGTGTTTAAGAGGCATTTGTACAATGCCCTTAATAACATACTTTAACTTTTGGTCAGCCCTGAAGTGGTAAGGCAGTTGGACTAGATGATCATTGTAGGTCCCTTCCAACTGAAATATTCTATTCTATATAGTTTGACTCAAGCCTTTTATGTGTAGCTTCTTGCCAAATGAAATGGACAGAAATCCAGTTGCAACTCAGCTGGCTATATTGTCTTCTCACAGTTTTTGTAACAGACCTGCAGTCTTTAAACCAGTAGGGACATGATTACACACTGATGTAATGCTTGTCAGGAACCAGAGTTTGTTGGCAGAAACTGTTCAAAAAGAAATAAAAAAAAAAATCAAGACCTTGGAGTCTAGATGTTAACACTGATGAGAAGCATTATCTTAAACCTGCACATGCAACGGGAGCTTTTTTGGAGTAGTAATTGTAGCATAGTGAGATCACATTTAGTCATTTTTTTCTTTATCAGCAAGCACTGTACTCAGCTAATATCTCTAAGAGCTGCCACCTCAGTCTTTATTCCTTACTCTATAAACCTTGCATGCTTGTACATCACTTTCTCAAAAAAGTATTAAAAATAACAATTGTCATGTGCTGCTATAAACCAGAAGGGCATATTAGACATTGTGTTACATACCACTTGCCAATATTATTCTCAGTAATGGAGAGAAATAATGCAGATACAGTATGAAGAAACAATTCTCTTGAGAAAAAGCAATAATGGCTGCAGAAAGTTATGGATTGTAAGATCCATTCACCTATATTTCAGTAGAGGAGGCCCCAGGTTCAGCCTCAGTACCCAACCCTTTTTGTCCATTTGGATGACTCAGCAAAAGTATCTGTGCATCTATGATCTGCTAAGACTGGAATGAGATGTTTCCATTCATAATTATCTTTCTTTTCATTTAAATAAAACCAGCAGATGAGGACCAAATAATAGAAACTGTTTCTGTAACCTTTATGGTTTTCACAGGCATTTGCTGTATTTGCGTACAAGTTGGAGATTCCTCATAATATTTAAGAAGCTGACATAACTCTGAGATTGATGAAGACAGCAGACGGTGGTTCTAAAAAATACACTAAGAAAGTGACAGTCAAATCATCTGTTATGTTTGCACTAGCAGCAAAGTGTGACACAAAGCTTGCAGAGGAAGGGCAGTAACACAGCACAGGTCTGTAAAGGTATCCTGTCTACCCCATGGCAAATAAGGCCCAAGAGTATTTCAGAGTCTGGAATATTGAAAGGTTGATTTGAAAAGTCTCTGGCTGCTCACCACACTACCTCACAGAAGAAGCAAGCACTGGGGAGTCAGCAGCACAGGCTAGCAGCCACCAACTGCATGCCTTTAAGAATACTTTGCCCACAGTATACTGAAAGCTGTGAAAAATCATTTAAGCAGCAGGCAGTAGGGATACTACAGCAGCAGAATTGCTGAGGCAGAAGGGGGGGGTGCCTCAAAGACTGTTGAGATGCCACATACAGTTTCCTGCCATCCACAACAGTCTGTTGTGTGAGGGGGTTTCTGAAGATCTGTGGGATTTCCTTAAGAGCCTCCATTAGAAGGTGATACCTCCTTTAGTTTTTGGGATAAGAAGACATGTTCCTCTGCTGGTCTCATATCTCTTTGCTGGAATAATACATAGGAAGCTCTGTGTGTTTTGCTATGCCTAGTTCTCCTGAAGTGTAGGCATATCTTTGCAACTGCTCTATGCTTTCATCTCATCACATTTTCTGTGAAATTATCCTAATGCACAGGGCTTTATCCAGTAAAATAAACAGCAGTACTGAACAGTTTACTTGCTCACCGTTCTACGCACTCCTTTACAACAGCAAAATTGCCATCACCAATCACCTTCCCCACTTTATACTTCTCAAGAATGGTAGATGACCCTGAGCACTTGTTTCCATTCACACCTGCAAAAAAGGAAGGTCAATGATTCAAGCTGAAGAGAAGCGTCAGCAGGATGTAATAAATCCCCAGTGGGTTCCACAGATACAGAACAGTCACAAATGCAAAACAAAACTTAAAAGTAAGCTGTTTTCTTCACAGCTTATTCCTTTGTTTTTATCTCAAACCAAGAAAGAACAAACTAAGACTAATCAGAGTTGTTTGACCTTTTAACACACAAATCAAATATTACTATGTTTTTGTGCGGACATATTCTAAAAGTAATGAATGCAATTAGAAGTCCTTAGCCTAAATATTTTGTGAACTCAAAATACTTTTTTTGAAGTATCTTTTTGCATACTCAAAGCAAAAATGCAAATAAGATTCATCTACAATGCATGTAAAAGAACCAAAAGTTTTATCTATCTGCTGAATTCCTTCAAGTTCCCTTAGCTGTTGCTGAAACATCCAAAATGCAAATAAGTTTGATAACTGCTTATTTCAGTATTTTTAAATTTAAAAATTGATTCTAAAATGAAATTCTAAAATAATAAAAAAACCAACATTGCTTTAAAGAGATAAGGAATGAAAGGTTAAGTTTAGCTAAGGTCAGTTGATGGGCTAGTGGTTCTACCTGAAGCACAATGTGCTGTTTTGAGGAGGGCTCCACTTTCAATCCAGCCACAAACACATTTCTGGTGATATTCTGCAGGTTGTGTTCAAAATCACTCAAATTCCTAATAGTGACTATTGAAGAGCAGGGTCCACTAATATGCTACCACTTGACGAAAAAAAAAAAGAACAAAATTTATTTCCTAGCTTTACTGCCTTGATGTAGAAAACGCAATAACAATTTTTCCAAAATAAGGTTGTCGACAAGGTATCAAACATCTCAGAACAAAAACCGATTTGGAGTCATCAGAAACCACCTAAAGGTGCTAAACCAACTGTTACCTACAACAAAATTATTGCAATGATTGTTAGCAATTATCGGTGTCCTACCTTCAGGACTCTGGCAATGGATTGATTCAGGTACACCATTCACATTGGAAGAAGATCCACCATGTGGAGGTATCTATGGAAGTACATAAGAACTTAGTATTTCTGATGGTAAGTAATCACAAGAAGGAGCCAGACAAAAAAACCCACCCTAAAAACACCTATACAGAGTCAGTTTACTTTTCTACTCCCATCTTATTTTTATTCTTGCTTTCTCACAGTTCATCATTGTAATACATCATTGACACTTGCACCAGTTTAAGATTCAGCCCTGATATTCCTATTTAAATAAGCAGTTGAACAGATTTCAGTAAACAGCAAAGGAAATTGCCTCCAGCTGCACCAAGTTCCATCTAAACACTATAGAGCCAGTGTGTGTGGAGGCAATGTTCCCTCCTCCTTCTACACAAGATCATTACAATACACTCTGAGTACATTTTCACATAAACCAGAGACAGCCATCTCCAGACAACTATTCAGTGGCCAGTGCAGCTAGCGCATGCTCTCATGCTGTAGTCTAACACATCTCCTCATAGCTGGCACTGTCTGAGGTTTCCCTAAGTGAACTCTGTCAATACATGCTCTCTTTAGATGAGCGCTGAAGCATGCTAGGAAGGTAATGTAGAAATGCTTGCATGGCCCTACTTGTTTTCATTTAAAGAAGAGACTCTTGGCATAGGTGGCCGGGTACATCTACAATAGTCAGATTTGCTAGGTAATCTAGAGGTCTATCTTTTAGGTTATTATGGATGTGATGATTTATGACATCTACAAGCATTTCAAGTTAGATGTCTGATACGCATCCAGACATAGATCCTGGTTTAGTAACTGCGACACTGTGTGAAAAACAAGTATCTAAATGACTATGAACGATGAAAGATAAAGAAAACTACTTTTGCTGCACTAACAACTTGTTACTCGATCTGAATCTTCACAATTCTACCTAAAGTCATCCTGTCATACTGCTCAGGGACATACACAACAATCAATTATTCTTTTTTAAAGGGGTAGAAGCATAGGAATGAATGCCATAAAATAGTAAAACGTACTGGATGTGTTCTATGCACCACTGTTCTATAAGCTGGCCCATTACAGTTAAGTATAAGGATGCTCTATGAAATTAAAACATATTTTTGATCATTCCCCCTCCTCTATATAACATTTCTTGCTGTTCTGTGAAGTTCCATATCTTGTTTTCTTCATGGGCTATTATAGTAATTCTCACCACTCACCACAAAAAGGATTAAAATGCTTCTCTGCCATAAGCTCAGTGTCTGTTGAAATGGCTTTGCATGACACCAGGAATGCAAATGCAGCATTTTCCGTTTTAGCTGACATTGTCTGGTTACACTGCTGAATATTTTAAATCATTAACACTATTGTCAGTGAAAGAACTGAACTGACAGATAGGGATATTGTCTAAAGGCTCATGAAATGCTAATGAATGCTCAAGTTTCTAGTGGCAGCTGAGCTGCCAAATCAGCTAAAGGTACAGTAACTAGAAGCTGTACAACTTAATTTTGCAGAGCCTCTAAAACAATGATGTTTACAAGCATTTGGCATAGAAGTAGTGTCAGACAGCAACCAGTCAGCTACTGCTCTGTTCCTTGCTAATAACTTAAAACCAGGCTATGTTAATGCTGCTGTCTTTCTGAGTTATCTATTTATTTAACAAGGATCAGGAACAAGGACATTTGGGTTAAATGACATTTGTGCAAAATCATGAGTCAGTCTCTTAACCAGTCGGTCACATTTTCTTCAAGCATGAAGCATAGATAACAGAACAGATCACTGCAAAGTATTAGTCATCAGCCAAAAATATTAGTAATCTATTTTGGGTTTTCAGTGAGTGGCAATACATGGGAATATCTAGCCCACATTTCCAACTTCCTTCATCCTTGTAATCAGGTCAGAGGATGACTGGGCACATTCCTTCTTACCACAGTATTTACAAGAAGGAAGCTAACAGCAACACGAAAAAAAGCTAAAAGGAATAAAAGGAAAAAAAAAATCTAATGCTGCTGTTGTGGCTGAAATGCTAGATCAGAATCTGAAATGGCAGGTTTAACCTTAGCTCTGCCACTAATTTGCCTCACAGCTCTAGATATGAGGGCAAACTCACCCTACAGCAAACATTGCCTTTAATTTGGATGCTGTAGGTCTGTGTCTCAGTTCGTCAGGAGCAAAATCAGTCTAGCCTTTCCCTACTGTGTCAGAGCACAGTAGAAATAAACTCTTAAGATGTCTGCGAGGTGCTTGACTAGCCAGAAAAGGTGGGGAGGAGGTAGGAATTCACAATAAGCGACACAGAATAAAGTGATTTTTATTATTAAAGTAATTTTCTAATCATTTAACTACCCAATAACATGTAATATTTAGAATATCTTGTACTGCTGGTATCCTAATAGCTTCAGGTATTTTGAAGGTGAAGTAAAGATTTTGGATGTGCGAGTAGACTTCACTGGTTCACTAGCCATTCCTGAAGTAGCAAGGAGAAAAGGATGCATGTTGCTTTGATACTACAGTAGTGAATATGGATGGCATCTACAACCACACTGCAGATTAGGTTTTGCAACAATTCCTCCTCCTGTATCCTAGTCCACACAGCACTACTGCCCTCTTCCAACACTGTTCCCCTTAGACATGATAAATTCAGAGTGTGCAGGTCTTAAATCCACTCTCTCACACATACATGCAAGTCCTAGAAAACTCAGACCTGAGGCAGAATTTGATTTTTTGTTTTTAAAAGCTCACAGAGTAATTTAGAGCAGCAATGGCTATCCAGCCCTTCGAATAAAACAATCACCTCAGAATGTGGATGCTACTGGCCAAGAACAGCCTAGACCAACAGTTACTCCTGTTGTATTTAAACATTATGCAATACAGAATATAACAATTATTGCTTTTACTTCCCTCAAGTTGTCTCTCTGCAGGTAATTTGTGTTTTAACAACTCATCCAGAGCCAAATGCACAATACAACATAGTTGTTAGAGATACTGAGAATATCTTGGTGAACACAGAGTTCTCAAAACTAGTTGCATATCATTTTATAGATTAATTAAAGATACTGTAAAAAGTTACAAAAGGTACTGAGCTGGAAAAAAAAACCTGCCCAACTGTTTCATTTTCTTCACATGCTGAACTATTTTCTGTGGTAGAACCATTTTTCCAGGTTCACAAAAATATCTAAACACATTTATCTATGTTTTATACTATTTTGTATTATTTTATGGGGACTGACTGTGACTTAAGTCACCAGGTTTATCAACATGACACGTGGTTTTGTGAGTAACACTCACATTAGATCTGTCATATCCATAAGCTTAAAACACCTACTTAGTACCCAACGTGCTTATTACACCTCAACATAATAACTAAATAACAGGTATTTAGCATTCTTACTTTCACCCCTACTAATATTCAACCCATTAAAAACTCCATTTTATACTTTGCACTGTAGGATTATTTTTTTTTTTTTTCCTATCTGAAGTATCCAATGCACAATGTGCCAGACAGCTGCATCCTGCCAGATACTGTGTGTATCAGGTTTTCTACTTTTAAGTTAAAGATAAGAAATTGAAAGCACAACCCCCCGCCCAACAAACCAAGCCCACCCACTAAACAAAAAAGATAAAAGCCTTTAAACCATCATAGAGTCCAAGAGCATGAACTGAAATGGGTATGCAAATGTAAGGTGATGTATAAGTAGCAGGGAGGGACTGGCCCAAGATTCCCTTAAAATCTGGATCAGAGTGTAAATCAGTGATTTGGGAATGAAAAAGCAGCAGCTTGACAGTCATTTTAATCAAGCTACATCTACTGGTCCAGTAGCAAAGATTTTTAATAAATCTTTTGAGTCAAAATGCTATCATATACCTGAAAAAAATGTAAACATAGTGCTTGTATGTAAAATAGAAACGTGCAGGGATATAAGAAAGTAATCCCAGATAACTACACACCTGGTAGGATTTTTTTTTTTTTGTCTCATGAGAGTGTGAGGAAGGATCCACAGATATAAACCCATATTCTCTTGAAGTGGAATGATACCTTAGTTGACAAACCTTTGCACTCAGGATTAGATTAATTGCCCGTGACACAAATGTTTGTGGAAACATTTGGGGCTTTTTTTCATATTGAAGGAAATACCTAACTTCTTGGCAGCTATATGAGATGGTGCCTTCTAGAGCACCTATCTAAAGGTTTCCTTTGTCTGTCCTTCTTGCCTGTCTGGATAGAAATGAAGGACCTTTGCCATCAGGTTGCTAGGCATACAAAGGTCCTGCGTACACTGTCCTGTACACATATATGCAAGTGCTTCTTTGACTTCAGATCTCCTATGGTTGCTCAATGTCTTCATAGTACACCTAAGACACACTAAATGTGCTGCCCTTGGTCTTCAGCACATTCATAATGTGCTCAAGAGACTCTGAACTGCATGATACACATGTACATGTACGTACGCACACCCACACCCTTGTGGCTGGAAAATTCCAGACAGAAATATGGGACCCCTACACCAACGCTATTGTTACTATTTTAAGCCTGTAATATGCTCAAAGTGCATCTAGCCAAACTTAGAAAAAGTATGTCTAATGTTGTTAACTTTTCCTTGAGTTCTGATCTGGCATTGCTGTGGTAATGTTTCATCTGAAGGCTAAGAAGAGAATGTAAACTCTCATACCTTTAGAAAAACTCCATGAAATTCTCAAAGAAGCTTTCTCTGTCTTTATGAAAACATTCAAATTGGTGATGAATCTAACTGTAGACTGTGAATATTTTAGTGAAATTGTGAATTAACTGTTTGCAGAAGTATTCTCTGAAATCTGGGGACACTCATATAGTGTCACTGTAATTCATCCTGAAAGGCTGCAGTAAGAAAGGGCTAAAAGATACTCCAAACATAAATGAAATGTTATTTATATAATCAGTGTTTCCAGTGAGATGTTATTAGTATTTATTATTATAATGCTTAATAGTAACATAATCTGTAAAACAGAAACACTGCTAGTAACCCAACTATACTGAGAAGCTACCTGTAACAATACAATAGCCAATTAGAATGTAGTGATTTTGCTACTGTTAATTTGAGCATACATGGTCATGCATTTTGTTGCACTGCTCTGGAAACACTGAAGAACCACATAAAGATTTACCCTTTTTCTAAAGAAACTTTGAATTGCATCACATTATGTAAAGCATTTAGCAAACTGATGACAATGGTGAATGGACTCAATACTTAAGTGCAATACCTCAGTTTCCCTACCAGCACAAATTAGCCAACTCTTTATCCACTGTATGAGCAAGAAAGGCAGCAGTTAAAGACTTTCTCTAAGAACTGCTATTGCACCTGTGTCACTAGGTTGGCTAATTGCATGTAAATAATCATAACATTTAACTGCTAACAGAAGCACGTGTACAAAACTGAAGAGATTAAAACCTTGATTAAGATAGGCACTAATCCTTCAAATCACTTAAGCACATGTTTAACTTTAAGTACGTTAACATCTTCATTGAAGTAAAAGGGACTACTCAAAAGCTTAAAGTTAAGCAAGTACTTAAGTTATTTGTTGGATCACGTTTTAATGCCCTTTCACTTTGGTCATTTGGTCAATCAATTGAAAAAGTAATACTGAGACAAATTCAAACACAATGCTATTTAGCATAATTGGGATTCTAAGAAAGGCCTCAGCAGTAAAGCTTCTTTATTTGTACAATTTTATTTTCTTTTTAAAAAGATGACAAGACTTTGTGGTACTTAATTTCAAGAGGGGACAATAAAACACATGCAAGTAAGCATAAGGAAGTTATGACACCACTTTCCAAAATCTCATATTTAATCTAGACTCTGGATGATTTTTATGGTACAAAGTGAGCATAGTAACAGATGTACTGGAAGAGCTAAGAGTCAAAGTACCCCTAGCAGCATTGCATGTCTGGGTATCTATAAATGCACATTTAGAACCAAAGAAAAAGGTTAAACCTTTCAATTGTCACCTGCCTACAAAACAGCAAAAGGACTCCTCTCGTCAGTTGTCCTGTGCCACCTAATGCACTATTACCATTATTTCTTATTCCATGCACTAGTTTTAATCTCTATGGAAAAGTCAGTAGAAAAACAAGAAACACAGCACATTTGCTCAAAAAAGAATATCATACAAAGCAGTCATTTACTTCATGCCCATACTTGTTAACTTTTATATCTAAATCTTTACCTTGAAACAAACCCTCTGCAAAGTGAAATGCTTAGTTACGGGCTAAAATTGAGACGTTAAAAATAAACAACTTTAATAAGAATACAGAGTAGCATGCAATTGGGTGCATGGTATCCATATTTGCCACTTACTGAAATAAAGGCATTTATTTGGGGTTGTGGGAAAATTCTGTAGTGTTTACTATTATTAAGCCATAGCATAAACTCCTTACTTGAATATAATCTCAGACTCCAGTACAGTTTTTTTAAAACACTTCTGCAAGATTGGGATGTTGGACAGCAAACAGGCTTACTGTATGTACTGAACAATTAATAGCACAAGAGCACTCTGGTTGGAAGAGCTAAAAAGGACAGATGGAAAGCCCTTCTCCTTAGAGATAAGCTGTTCACAAGAAGTGTTTCCTGCAAGGAGTTTTCTGTGCCTGAGCACACCACTTCTGCTTATAAAGTGTTGTAAAGCAGAAGGAATCCTTGGGGACTGAAGAGACTTCACTATAAAGGAAAAGTGGCATTCGGAGAATATGATGTAAGACTCAGTGTCTGACACTGAGGAAAAAACTGGTGTTGCAATCACTATCTTTTGCAAGTTTACTGCCTTGATGACTAGCATTATCACTTAAGCTCTACGTTGATCGTCAAACTTAGAAAAGCTTAGCCAGCTTCTAACCTGTAGTCAAATATTTTATTTTGCTCTGGCTTTCCAACAAACACAGTTTTTAAAGTACAGTTCATGTGCAGCTGCTCTGATGGTCTGCTCTTTACAGGAAATAGAAACATCAACCCTGACTTTTTCCCTTTTCCTGCTGCCCCAAGCTCATATAAAATCATTATTAAGTATTGCTGTTTTGTGCTCTACAAAAATAAACATATGACTTCCACACAACAAATCTGCCAAAATATTGCATTTCCAAAGCTAGAAAACTCAGAGATATACTTTATTCTTTCACTGTCTGCCATACTATTTACATCTACATTTTCATTCAGCTGTAGTCATGGCACCTTCTTTATACAAGTGCAGGAAGCCAGACTGCTTGTCTGCTCAGCGATGCAGTCTTAGCAACATGGAATTATTTAACAATAGGGGAAAAACAGTAATCTCAGAATTGGTCCCTGCTTTCCCTCTGTTTTCCTCATCAGACCGGCCAAGATCAATCCTATAAAAATAATAACAGGTTTCTTAAAAGAATCTGGTTTTGCATAAAACCATGCCTCCCTGTTACTGGTTTTATGTTGATACTTCACCAAAACAGTCATTACTATTAGAACATAATCAAGAAAAAAGAGTGACTGGACAGTGTACTTCATCCTTTTGGACTTTATTCTGAAATTCACCAGATAACTTTCCCTATCTTTAGTCTCAGGAGCACAGCTGGGATCCTCCTACTGAACAGATGCATCCTAATAGGATAAAAAAAGAGGTACTCACTACCTCAGTAACACATCAGGTCTGAGATGATTAATGTGTTTTTGCTGTTTTCTTTGGTCATATAGGGATGAATTATCTGACACGAAAACCCATTAGTATCTAGCATCAATTAAATTCCAAAATGAAAAAGCACAACAGCCTACTTCAGTGAAATTGACAGTTAGGGGAAAGAGGACATGTCCACTTTACTGAAAATTGCTTGTTACTATCAGAATTATCTCTATCTTAATGGAGCTTTAATCAGCTAAAAGCAGACAGGACAGCATGGGAAAAAAAAATGAACCAAATTATCTAGTTTCTAAACTTGTAATTTCATTAAAGAAAGACAAAAGAGCATTTGTTAAATATAGTGCAGACCAGCTGAGAACCTCAAGTCCAATGATTTTGGTGTCCTCTACTGCAAGTTCTATAGCAGAACTGTCCAGACAAATTTTAAGACACATAGTTCTAATTTTCAGTGTCAGAACTATTACTGCTCTTGCAAATGCTTTACAGGGGAAAGGCCAACCTATGTTGCTTTGGACAAAGAGAAGTTATGGGATGGTACAGCTCAACAACATAAAGGCAGAGATCAACACTAAATTGTCTCAATGAACCAAGCAACTAAAAATATATTAGAATTAAACAAATAAATCAACATCTTTTCTTGGAATTATCACAGAAGCCTGGCAGAAACCAGTGCCATACTCCTTGCAACACAGACAAAGACTTGGTAACAATTAGCACGTCAAAACCCAAATCTAAATACTATTCAAATCACGTCCTTTAGCCAGTCTCTTAATTGAGAAAGCAGTTTTCTACAGAATTATGCAGCCTCTTCACAACTGTTGTGTTCACCAATGGGAGCTGTTACTTGATCAGAATAATCAGTGTGAACCATCCAGTGTGCTTCCAGAAAGGCTGCAATTGATGATTTCATAAGTAAATTCTACTTAAAAGGTCAGCTGCACAAATGCAGCAGTAAGATGCTCAGCTGTGCTCCAGACAGTGTTCCTTTTATTTTACCAGGCAAAAGGCACAGAGCAGCTCTAAGAACTGTAAACGCTACCAATTTTTAAGTGGGAGAGGAAAAGAATTCTCTTGGTGCAGCACAGAGAAAAATCTGTCAGAGATCAGGCTGCTCCCAAAGGAACCCCTCACAAGCTTTCAGGCAGGAGACTGCATTAAGGGGTGAAATTGTGTGCCATGGATGAAGGAGTGTGCTGCAGATGAAATTTTGGGCAATGCTACAAGACTATAATGTATTGAAAAGAGGATACTACATTTATATAGGGTGAGGGAATGTCATGGTTTAACCCCACCCAGCAACTAAGCACCACGCAGCCGCTCACTCACTTCCCCCTCATCCAGTGGGATGGGGGAGAAAATTGGGAAAAGAAGTAAAACTCGTGGGTTGAGATAAGAACGATTTAATAGAACAGAAAAGAAGAAACTAATAATGATAATGATAACACTAATAAAATGACAACAGTAGTAATAAAAGGATTGGAATGTACAAAGGATGCGCAGGGCAATTGCTCACCACCCGCCGACCGACACCCAGCCAGTCCCCGAGCGGCGAATCCCTGCCCCCCCACTTCCCAGTTCCTAAACGAGACGGGACGTCACATGGTATGGAATACACTGTTGGCCAGTTTGGGTCAGGTGCCCTGGCTGGGCATGAGAAGCTGAAAAATCCTTGACTCTAGTCTAAACACTACTGAGCAACAACTGAAAACATCAGTGTTATCAACATTCTTCGCATACTGAACTCAAAACATAGCACTGTACCAGCTACTAGGAAGACAGTTAACTCTATCCCAGCTGAAACCAGGACAGGGAATATGAATTACGTGGGGGGGTTCTGCAGTCCACAAAACAATGGAAAATTTGGAGGGCAAACTGGCATATTCAAGCCACCATCACACTCCACCTTTCCTAAGCTGAGAGTTCCATCCTGCCAACCAAAGACAAAATACAAAAATCTTACTTCAGATCTCTTCTCCACTTCAACTCAAAAATCCTACTAGCAAGGCTACTCTATAGAATTATAACTCTTTTTTTTTTCTTTTTCTTTTTTTCTTCTTCAGCATCACTGTAATACATCAGCCAACAAATAAGGGAATTCAAGGTTTTTGATGGTTCTTGCACTTACCTTGAGTCCACGAAAGCTGCCTGGGCTTGTTGGTGAAGAACTGGAGGACTTTGTAGATTTTGGGGTGGATAATTGACTGCTTGGTGTTCCATTAACTGGCCAAAGCAATAAAAGCAAACAAATGAAAGAAAAGATGAATAAAACTCAAAAACCCTAACTTGCTTTTAAACATAACATATCTCTCTGACAAGTTATCACTCAAGTTTGCATACAAAGACCAAAACAGATGCCTCAGCATTTAGGACTAAATTATACACTTGCATGCCACACAACTGCGCCCCCAAAACTCATTAGCCTGGACATGGGATCAAGAAGACACACAAATATTGCATTGTCATTCTAGAGATTAAAAAGGCCTATTCTGTCTTTGCCAGTGCAAGAGCTTTGGGCAAGTAATAGCCACAGCCTTTTAAAATTATATCATTTATTGTGATATCACACAATAAAATTTGGAGACAGAAAGTGTTCATAAAGACATTTGACCCTCCATCTCTCCTTTTTGGATCAACACCTAAGTTTCTAGGTAGAATGTTTCACAGAACACAAGTTGTTTTGTTTGGGTTTTTTTTTCCAAGAAAAACAAACAAACAAGAAGTATGAGCTGTTTGGGTGATAAAGAACTTATGCAGTAGTTCAGAAAAATACTGATTTAAGGGGAAAAAAACCCCAACAACATGGGGTAAAAGCTAGTAGGTTATTTCTGAACTTCCGAGAAGTTCAAGTGTCTGTAAAAACATACAATATCCTCCCTCTTGACTTCAAGAGTTAATTCATTTTAAGTCCAGTTTTCCAGAGAGGCCTGATACAACATCCGTTATATCTCTGGTGACTTGACTATAACTTAGGTCAGTCCTTGTATTTTTCTGAAAAAAAAACCTGATGAATTTCATTATGCAGACAGAATAGCATGCTGTCCATCATACACAAATATAATGCAACATTATATGATACGACATTATTTCCTCTCTAGCTGAACCTTATTTTTCCTGGGAGAGGAAAATACCAGGCAGAAATTTAAGAGCTAAAAAGGTTTCATAGCTGATTCATGGCAAAGAATTATCTTTTCAGAAAGAAAAAAGCAACCCTGGCAAATAGAAACTTAGCTTCAAAGTAAATAACAGTTGCACCTGCACATACCCTTTACACATTCAGAGGTCTTTCATGGGTTATGCATCACTTCTTAACCAGTGCTATTGGATTTATTTTACAAGTGTCTATTAACCTATTACCCTAACATTCTCTGAGTGGTGAAGATGCCTTCCAAGTACTATTTTTACAACCTGGGCAATCTATCTGCCAGTAGGCCAGGGTGACTGCACTGCAACTTCCACAAATCGCTGTTTTTCACAAAAACCTCTTTCTCTGATGTGTGATGTTAAGATATAACTAATTAGCATTTAGCTACAGAATAAGTCTATCTTTGAAGTCTGATAACTTGGATTTACAGTCCCAGATCTGTTACAGGACTAAGACCTTAGTCTTTTCTACTAAAAGCATTCAGTATGTTTAGGATATTTTTGTCTTGACTTTAACAAGGGTTACCTGTAAGAACAATAGGTGAATTATTTAAGTGGCTTTATAAGCTAAAAGTATTTAGGCATATATGGCCCTCCTGCAGACTTCTTTTCATCACTTTGTTTTAAATAATCTTCTCGAAACCCGGCATATCAATGCATCCTTGGTTTATTGAGAATTTGCAAGTATAACGATGAAAAGGGCTAGTGGAATGCTATCTTACTGTTTTCTGCTTCTCGCATAAACAATTTGCTCTAGCCATTAGAAAAAATACTGAGCTGTAAAGTTCATGACCAAAAATGAGATACTTCAGTAGAATTTGCTTCCAAATGACCAGCTATTGCTGCAGGAGGAAAAAAATTTTTGTTCATTCACAAATTCTTTTTATACAGGTCACAGAAAGGTCACTATTTCCTGAACATGACCACTGAGGCCTACACTATAAGACACCTGTATCTGTCTCTACGTCACTACATTCTTTTTACGCATCGACAGAACCACTAAACTGTACCAGTGAAATTGGCTGGTTAACATAATCTTCTTCCCTCTCATAACTAAGGAAGAACAGCCCAGCCTACACTGACAGTAGTCTAGCTCTTTGCTATTATCTTACACATGCTTGGTGGACAAGGGTGGTGTTCTGAGCCAGGGCTGTGACTAGATGATGTCCAGAGGTCCCTTCCAACTTTCGTCCTTCCATGATTCTACAACACATGGTATGTTCTGCTGAGGATCTTATTTAAAAGAGCTGGCTGTAGCTACAGCTTTGCCAATGTCTTCTGAGAGCCACTGCATTTGAGTTGGTGCACAGCTGCAACAACAGTAAAAGCTGGAATTGGCCCTGTGTAGATAATAAAAATTTTGCATCTATAGGGAATCAGCCAACTGCTTGTGCTGGTTTTGGCTGGGATAGAGTTAATTTTCTCCATAGTAGCTAGTATGGGGCTATGTTTTGGATTTGTGCTTGAAACAGTGTTGATAATACAGGAATGTTTTTGTTATTGCTGAGCAGTGCTTACACAGAGTCAAGACCTTCTGCTCCTCACACCAGCCCACCAGTAAGTAGGCTGGGGATGCACAAAAAGTTGGGAGGAGACACAGCTGGGACAGCTGACCTCAACTGACCAAAGGGATATTCCAGACCATATGACGTCGTGCTCAGCTTATAAAGCTGGGGGAAGGTTGGCGGGAGGGCCACTGCTCAGGGTCTGGCTGGGCATCAGTTGGTTGGTGGTGAGCAATTGTTTTCATTTGCATCACTTGTCTTTCTTGGGTTTTATTTCTCTCTCTTTGTTACTTTCCTTTTCATTACATTATTTTTATTATTTCAATTATTAAACTGTTCTTGTCTCAACCTACAAGTTTTCTCACTTTTACCCTTCCACTCCTCTTCCCCCATCCTGCTGTGGGGGGAGGGACTGAGCAAGTAGCTGTGTGGTGCTTAGTTGCCAGCTGGGGTTAAACCACAACACTGATATTTTAGACAGCAGTATTTTATCTTTTTTTTTTTAACTCAAAAACCACACAAGCAATCTGTATTCATTTTTGGCACAAACTTGTCTGCTGCTATTGATTTGCTGGTTATTTCATGTATATGCAAAACTTACCTTGCTTATCTAAGTATAAGTGCTTTTAAGGTTTTTTTGACATGTAGAGCAGCCTGAATATACAGAAAAAAAAAATTCTTCTCTGTTGTTCTTTAAGTAGTATGTATTAGGCTACAATTCTTTAGCATATTGGAATGCTGAAAACTGAAAAACCTACGAATACCTTTTAAATTGTTAACTTCTAGTATGGTCCAAAGTCTCAACTTATTTGCTAATCAAAATGCAATTTACTTGTTTTAGAGATACTTTCACTTTGAACTGAAGGTTCAAGGAGGTTTCTCATCATTTTAGAACTTTGGTTGAAATAACACAAGAAAACAAAAGAAGGTAAAAAAGTACAAATAAAATTAAGAACTGACGTGTTTTTCACTGCCTTTTTCACCAACTCTTAGCCCTGTCTTTTTGCACTGTCTGAAATTTTCTATAATATGCTTTAGAATACACATACAAATGTATTGCTCCTCAGAATGCTCCTCTCCTTGTAGTCAAATTACACCTCTACAAATTTAACTTTGACACCATTAGCAGATGTCCAACAACTATAAAGCATCATTTATATTATTTCACTCAAATGATCTACTTCAACAAAAAACCTACCCCCATTAAGTCTCTGGTTCACCAAATGCAAAACGTGTGTTTCAAGCTTGAAAATATTCACAAATACAGCAAAAAGAATACAGGTAAATGGAGAGGGAGGAGACACACTAGTGATATACAGCCATAATAGTAATGGCTCACCTGGGGATTTTGCTGAAGAATAAGCACTGGAGTAGTGGCCACCCCTCTTTACTGTACTCATATATTTGACACAAAGGAAAAAGACATTAAGGAAAGAAGTTATTAAACAGCTCTGAACATGCATGAAAGGAAGAAGGGTAAATAAAGATAAATAAAGACTACATGAGAAAAAATGGCAAGTAAATAGAAGGATAAATACCAGACAGTTTGGATAAACTTTTCAAATTAACCTAAACAAAGGGGTTCCAAGTAGAAATAAGTAAGGAAATGACAGCACTGATTTCTAAATACTTTGCATAAAATTCACTGTTGATAGATATCCCATGTGATCTCATTGAAGTTAACAGGATTGCATGAAATGTCAATCAGTTGTGAAACTTGCCCTTCATGCTACATTTTTCTTTGCTGTTACCGCGATCCTTTCAAGCTTTTCAGTTAAATATTCAACTTTTATAAACAGATGATAAATATTCTACTTTGAAAGAAACCAAAGACATAAAATTACTTTAACCAGCATCAATTAAGCAAAACAAATATTGATATGGAAATGAGAATATGGAATACTTTGCAGTTTTGAATACACGCACAGGAGCTTACATGTATAGTTACATTCAGAACAGAGCATCGTATATTTACATATTCAGTGGTTTGATTTCAGGGCTACTTCTCCAGGTCTGAAGGAAAAAATTTAATTAAGTTTTATTGTCTTTAGAAATTAAATGCAGAGGTAAAAAAAGGAACACATCAAGTTTCTCCCTTCTACTTATTTGCATAAAAGACTCAATGGTTGGAATATATGGTGTTCAGCCAGACTGCTGGCAGAAACACAATGTGAACCTTTCTTTGAAATTACAGGAAGTACAAGAAGAAAAAAAATTTCTCTGTTGATGGGCAATAACTTTCCAGAACATCCCCTAAAATTACTTGAAACAGCAAAATCCTGTATTTCCAACAATATTTGGCTTATATAGGAGAAACCTTTCAAATTCAAAACACTTCAGGGTATGCTCTAGTTCAATGAACATGAATTTAACCACGTAAGCATCCTATAGCTAACAGTCTTCAAGAAAATCAAGTGCCATGCTGAAAACATATCCCAAGTGTACAATTAGCACAAATTATTCCAATGTTCATAAACTGAAACTTTTTATGCCTGTTAATTAAAAAAAATAGAAACCATATTTCTTCTCACAATTCAAAAATAAATGCAAATTTTATTATAAATTAGTATTAAAGCTATGAGACAAACTGAAAAAACATTTTTTTCCCCTCAGAGAACAAAGCATGGCACTTCTATTTCAGACAGAGCCAACAGTTTTTTCACCCCATGAAGCAAATTCTAACTTCATGTATTTTACATGTTCAGTTCTTTCCTAGAAGTAGTACCTGAGGCAGGTGATTTGCTTCGACGTGAAGGTCCTGGACTTTTGGACCCAGTATGCCTCATTCCAGATGATCGGGAATAAGAGGACTTCATAACACGGCATTCTACAAAGCAAGCAGATAGAGTTTTGACAACAGTTCAATGTACAGGCTTCCTCCGAACACTACTGTTGCTGTTTATTATCCAGAAAATGAACTTCAGTATTTTCTAAACATGCTTGCCCAACTGAATGAAACAAATTTAAAAGAGCATCTCAGAACTTTAACCTACATACCATAAAACCTATTTGAGCTACTCAAATGCCATATGTAACATTCTGCATGTAATATTCCTTTATGTCTTAAAGCTGGATTATTACTATAATTCAAGTTTGTATGTACGCACAACTGAACAAGTAAAGAAGTCAGCTGATGCCAAGGTTCTGAAATTCAGTAAAACCTGCAAGCTGTAATGGCAGCTTCATATTGGACAACTGCACAGCATTTACCTTCTTTTGCAAGAAACTTATGTTGTGACCAATTTTTAAAGAGGTAAAAAATGTATTGTTTCCAAAAGGCTGAGGCAATAGATTACTGCCATTTACCATCAGCTATATATCATTAAATAAAAGACAACCTAAATGGGAAAAAAATCAATAGGCATACATGCATTGACATTTTGGAAGCAGTTTAATTCCTACAGTTAGCATCCACTGCAAATCCCTCCATAAATTTCCCTCTCAATTTTGTCCCTGTTATTCAACACTACAATGTCAATGCAATAATTATGATGCCACATCACCATCAAAAATAGTAAGTAGAGCTGCATGCCCTGCCATTCAAGTCATGGTCCACCCTGTCCCTAACCTGCTTTTCTCCATTAAAACCTCCAGAGTTATTAGAGGAAGGAGGGACCACCAAAGCTGAAGAGACAAAGGGAGAAAAAAAAACCCCTCCATCACTGGGTTCTCCAAAAGGGAATGAGTCCAATTAGTCTGTGCATGGTGTAATGGAAAAAGCAAACTTACAGCCTTTAAATCTGCAAGGGAAATTATAATTTTGCCCAGACTGGGATTTGCAGTGTGAGTTAATGCAACCATGCTCTTCTTTTCCTGCATAAGAATAAAATCATATCTTAGCTAGTCCAAAACTATGTTAAAAAAATAACCTTCTTGTCACCTCCTTACTAGCTGAATCAACATAATCAAGCAGTTCTGGAAAAGCAGCATGCTGGCAGTAACAATAGAATGGGAGCCAGCTGAATCCTCCATCCAAACATATGGAGCAGTGGTGGGATATATACCTATACTTCTTGAAGTAACTCAAGATTTTGTAATGAAATTATGGCATTTGTAAAAATTAGAAAAACAGCAGGTGCTTTTGCTTTCAGTTACCTGAGAGCAAGGCAACCCTCCCCCCACCTCCCCTATTCACAGCCTGAAGCTCTCTTCAAATAATCTGATGATTCTTGCCAGGACAAGTTTTCTTTACCACAGATTAATTTTTTGATAACAGAAGATCAGGGTGATTCTACAGCTGAAACAATATAGACAGAAAAAACATGTCTAGTAGGGCCTGTAGAGATAGGACAAGGGGTAATAGTTTTAAACTGAAAAAAGGGTAGACTCAGACTAGATATAAGGAAGAAAATCTTTTATGATGTGGGTGGTGAAACACTGGAACAGGTTGCCCAAAGAGGTTGTAGATGCCCCATCCTGGAAACATTCAAGGTCAGGTTGGACGGGGCACTGAGCAATGTGATCCAGTTGAGGATGTCCCTGCTCATTGCAGAAGGGTTGGACTAGATGGCCTTTAATGGTCCCTTCCAACCCAAACCATTCTATGATTCTATGAACATAGAGAAAAAAACAACATATATTTGATATGATATTCGAAGCCAATTCTAAAACTCCCTGGTTGAGGAGAGAGCTTTTTCCTTGAACTTACATTATAAATTTTCTCTTTAGAGATAAACAACTTTTGTAAACAAGTTAAATTCATGATCTGTCAATGCCAGACAGCATGGGCACAAAGTCCCAGTTTGTCTCATCTCCTTCCCCACCCAAATCCCTCCTATAACCTCACAACATAAACAGGCTCAACACTTGGTCTATAGCAGACAAGACTGGAATGTGTGAATTGTGCAGGACAATTCAAGACCTGAAATGAGCGTGGTTACATATGTCATTTTTCAAAAATCTCATGAAGACAGCACTATGGAAATCTTACAGTCACAGATTTCAAAAGCAAACATTTTTAACAGATTTTAGATCCATTAGATCCATGACTGAACCTTTTAAAATTCAGTACTGTTTTTCATGTAACTTTAGGGACAGGGTCTGTTTTCCAAGAAAATAGGTCAGGTTTGGTAGTGCATTTTAATAGATTTACAGAATCCAGATGATGGTTTGGAAAAACTTTTTAATCCATAGAAAAATATATTCCCATGTATATTTTCCTAAATCACACAACTCTTGAGGACTGAACAGGGGGACAGGGTGGGGAGGGGGAAGAGTTCTTAGTGAAATTGACTATTTCAGTGGGTTTAGGATGTACAGTCTTACCACTGTGATCCAACACGAAGTCATCCTGAGCGTACCGGTATTTCTCAGGCCCACATGCAATGAAGACATCATCATCTCCAAAGAAGTCCTGCAAGCATGTCACCTTGACAGCAAAATAGACAAAACAAAATCAACAAATGCAGTACTTTCAAATACTAAATCTTCAGTTAGTCAGCAACAGTTAGTAAGTTTGTGTTTTCCTTTTCATAGTGATACCATAATGTTCTTTTACAATGACAGAAACACCCCAGTTCTCAAGTACTTCAGCTCTCCCAGTACCGCAGGAAACCTCAGAGTCAAGAATGTAAAATATGACTGCCCCTCACCTCCAAACACCTTCTCTTATATCTAACGCCTGTATTTTTGCCTAGAACTACACATACATGCTGATGACTTTGACAAGTAAACACTACCCCAATATCAAAGCTTCTTGTATTCTTACATTAATTGCTTATGGGAAAATCAGTCAAGTTAAAATGATTGCATCTACAAATTTATTTTTTTATGCTCTGAGGCATTTAATTTCCATGTTTTAATGTCCTGTTAAAAAAAAAAATAATTCCCCCCTTTATTAAAAGGTATTCCATATTCAAGAAAAAAGAAGTAGAGAGTCCCTTTTATGCCTTTGCAGCTCTGTCTGTTCTTCATTCTCCCAGTAAGGATGTTACAATGTATTTCCAGAAGGATGAGGATATCAGAAAGAAAAATGTTTTAGACATTCTTTAAAAACACAAAACCCAAGACCTTGAAAAACCCTCACTTCTCAAAAGTCAATAAAAGTCAGCTTGTGCAGGAGCAAGCATCTGCTTTAAAAACAATTAAAACCAAAAATGCCACAACAAGAAATCCCACCAAACTCATTTTAACTTGTAAGAAAAAAAGTGTTTGCAGGTAGCAAGCTATTTTTAAAATGTAAACGGATTAAAGTTCTACCGTATAATTGTTTCCCTATTCTTTTTAACATTGCACACCCAAATGAGATCTGGGAATAAAAGCTACGTAGAGGCTAAGAAAGTTAGAACCATTTGGTAAACCCATGTAATTAAAGAGGTAAAACAAAAAACTGCTTTTAGGGAAACTAGCTTTTTTCTTTCCCAGATACCTGTCAACCCCATTTGCATATTTTACCCACTGTGATAATAGTAAACATTGGCAGAACTACAGGAAGGGGTGTCTACTGCCTGCAGTATTCTGAGAAACACTCAGAATATCAATGACCCTGAGCTCTCTGCAAGCACACCCACACAGGGCATTCACCAGCAGCACAGTTGTCATGGCAGCTAACCCAGGAATAACAGCTGGTGCCCTTACAGCAAAATCCTCACTACAGTGCCACATGCAGTATCCAGCATTTGTGTCACTGTGTTACGCAGCCAAAGGACTCCAGCCATCACCAAAATTCTTTTATTGTTATCTTACCATTACAATGACAATCTGCTCTCATGGACGAGAGTCATTTTCAGCTGTACTTGAAAAATAACTCCCTCTACTAATAAGAGGACTCATTATCATTTCCACAGCCTTCAGGAATCCAGCAACCAACCCAAACCCACCACTACAGGAAAAGCTGTGAGAAAGCTTTCACAACACTTATCCCAGTAGCACTGTTGGACACAGGCAGAGATGTTCTGTGAGGCACAAGTTCACACGCAAAGCCCCCAAAACCGGGTGCCATTGCCACAAGCTCTGCCTACCATCACTGCTCTACTCATGCCCCCAGTGCCCTTGCAGTGCTGTTTTGAGCAGGTTAGAGTTAAATGCTGTGGTTTAGCAGAGCCTAAAATTAATCTTTCTGTTCTGATTCAAAGCCTCCCCCTCACCCCTTATCCTATCCAGTCTAACATCTGAGCTGAGTAAGAGAGAGAATGACAGGTCTTATGTCAGACTCTGAGAAATACACAGGGATATAACTGCATGCAGCAGCATCCTTTTATTGTCTGCAGAGCAATTCTACAAAGGAAGGGTCAGATCTGTGCACAAAAGATGACAGGAGTACCCTTAGCAATGCACCTTAAAATCTTTTGTAAACGGCTGTTGGGGAGGGGAATGAAGAACTTTAAGAAAGGTATTAATTTCCATACGAGCTTTCCCACATGTTCACATCTGTACAGTTTCCCCAGGCAAGAATAGACAGGAGTAATCCTGATCAAATAAACTGCTGGAGATAGAGCAATGGCACCTCCATCTTGGAGCTCAGGCTAATGCCAGCCTCTCCGTCTGCTCGCACACTGTGTATCTGACCTGTGTGACTTCCACCTGTCAGTCACAAACCAAGACCCACTTTAGCTTACTGTAAAAGATACTAAACTACACTTATAACTGAAAGCCAGATAAATGCAAGTATGAGAAAGATCTACGTAGATGCTCACTATGTTCCTGAATACTGAAGTCCTCCTTCTCCCTACAAATAGTCTGGACTGGCTACACATAATACAAGAAGAAAAAAAATATTGAAAAACTGTATTCAACAGGGAATAAAGATCTTCTAGAACTTACCAATCCCAAATAACCACACATTAGGAGGCGAGTGAAGTATTTTTATAAGCAAGTTCATGGCAATCTTCTGTTCTCCTACAAGTACAATCTAATGGTTATTTTTCTAGGCTTTTATCGTAATAAAGTCAAAGGAGCAGCTCCCAAGGTGCAAACAGATGCTAAATAAACAGTCTTCATTTCCTACAGAATTAAAATCAATGTATATGCTGCAATTAATGATAACAGTTTTTTGCTCACTTAGTGTGCAAAAACTATTAAGGGAAAGCCGAAATGAATAAATTGTTTGCATGGGATTTTGAATGCTGCAAGTCCATGGCAGTCTAACTTGCAAATCACACAATTCTGCTCCAAAGGATATCTCTACTTATATCACATAGCAATTTTTTAGAGCTTTGAGCAGGATTCAATCAGTTTAGAAATTTCAAAACAAAAATATTTTGAACACTTATTATTTTTTTTCAGAATTTCATTAGCAGTATAACTTGTACATATGAATAGCATGTCAGTCATTCCAGTAAGTTAGGGATCACAATTTGGTTTGTCAAACTAGTATATGACAAATGCTGCTTCTCTTTCCACTAAGTGTCTATCTTAACCACTCTTTGTTTTGCTGCACTTGGTGATAAAAGAACTGTTCAGTTCTCAAAATATTTCCTAAAATGCCTTTCAAAGGAAGATGGTTTTAGCAAAGCTGCATCTAAGTGTACCATAGCAAAACCAGACAAATATGTAGTCATTCATTCAAGTAACAACTCTTTTGCTAGTCCTCATGCTGTGAGTTTCTATGCATGAAGTTGAAAATGTGAAAAGCTTTAGACACCCTGAAGAGGTTAAGCACCAAAATGAGATCTGATTTTCAATAGTGTTGAGAGCTTTTTTAAAATTACAATAATTAGGTCATTTTTGAGATTCAGATCTGGCCATTTCCCAGTTTACATCCACAAAAGCTGTATAGAAGTACTTAGAATGCATGCTTTCCATCAGTAGCCTTGCAGTAAAGCTCAGTCAGAATCTATTTTTCCTGTCTGTGGCTTTAATTACCACAGATAACGCTCTTTTAAAAGAACAAAATGAACATGATTTGTTTGTCCATGGGGAAAAAACAAATAAAATTTAAATGTTTGGATTTTTTTTTTAATGGAAGACATATACAGAGCTGCATAAGGAAGTTTTTTAGGGTTTATCATTATAGCCAACACTACAAAGGCTTACACCAAAGGAGTTTCAGCCTTCCTTGAATTCTCCCCCCCCCCCCCCCCCCCAAAGTGAAATATATTTTGAAAAACTGGTCTAGGAACACTTTAGAAAAATGTTATCTTGTTAACTCTGGATGTTTCAATTAACATGTTTAAATGTGTTAAACCCCATTTATTTCTAAATACAACACCCTTTCCTAGCCAAACATTGCCTATGTTTTGCTGGTAATTCCACTGCCTTCCCTTTATTTAGAACAAAATGTGACTTATTGGTGCTCCTCTGAAAACTCAGACTGCTATCAGGTTGTCTTATTGCATTGCTTTTGTTCAAAACATGTCACTATACGCAGCAGAGTAGTGCATATTTGGATAGAACTGGATTGAAATTGTACTCAGTCCTTTAAAAATACTTCTCATGGCTTAGAATTACAAGCACGAATACAAGGGAATAGGGAAAAGCAAAAATGTTATGTGAGAAGTCTCAGACTAAATATAACTGGAAGTCAATGTTACATTTTCTTTTTTAGTAGGGTCACCCACAGCATTATTGTGTGTCTGTTTCAACAGAATCCGTCCACTTGCATTCTCGCCATAGCTTTCTGAGATGATGTGCAAATGACTCTGGGCATCGCTGCTTCCTGATGGGCTCAAAAAGGCTGTGCTCACCATTAGACTAAAGATCAGGGGACAACAGAATTTAAGTGGCAGCATCAGGAGAATTAAATTGTAACTGGCTTCAACTGCAAGAGCCCCAAACAAGTAAGCAAGAGGCTCAATGATCCAAAACTTGAATTGCTTGTTACAAAAAAAGCAGTCTTTTCTCATAAAACTTCACACACACACACCCCCGCCAAATTGAGGAAATCTTGTGACACTGAATGGATGAAGTGTTTTTGAAAAACACAAAGACCTTTCTAATAGAGATACATATTACTAAATATGCATTAGGTTACAGAAGTGGCATGACTAACAGTAGTTTGCAAGACCATTAATGGTAAAAGCACTTCAAAATCACACAGCTGAAAGCACAAAAACATGGTTTACAAGCAGAAGAAAATGAAGCACAAACTCACAGGAATGGGCAACACCACAAGTCAAAATGTGAAAATGGGGTGTTGAAAGGGAAGGGAGTGAAACACATCTATTTGAAAAATCAATTTCCTGATCCCCTGCTGTCTACGAGTGCAGTGTTTTAATGTCACATGCACCCATCATATTTACCTTTTAAAATAGGTTTGTATTTCTGACAAATATTTATCACCAAAGAAGTTTGCTCTTTCCAAAGAAATATTTCAGTCAGATCAAGCTACTGGACTAGAATATACAAACTGTGATCCACACAGAAATCCCTTTCCCATTACCATCACACAGGCCTAGAAATGTAATTTACATCAACACCTACTCCCACCTT